TGACAACAGCTAATAGTGGAAAAGTTGGAATTCAAACCCAGGCGGCTAACCCTAAGTCTGTACTCTAACCATGGGGCTCTACGGCCGCCTTCTGTGTTACAGCAGTACAGTCCAGGGAACTGACGATGGCGACTGGGAAAGGGCAACAAAAGCTGACTAAGATGTATTAGACAGATAAACTCAACAAGAGTTGGTGACAGCCTGAATGTGGAGAATGAGAGAAAAGGAAGATTAAAGGATGACTCCTTGGTTTGCAGCTTAGAGCAATGAGGTAGACAGTGGTGCCTTTACTGAGACGGGAAAGAATGGTATAGGCTGGCAGGGGGACAATGGGGAAACAAGAGATCCTCTCTGGATATATTTAAGGTTTGAGAATCTTAATAAACATCCAAGTAAAGACGTCAAGTGGGCCACTGCATATAGAATTTTAGAATTTGAATGTGAACATCCATTTTACTTTTTTTCTCTATTCTTAGATATTAGGAAAAGAGTAATACTGTATAAATAAAAACTGTACAAGCACCACTTTAAGCATCCTCCCCACTCCTATAAGCTTTTCAAAAAGAATCAGATATTGCCACTCTTTGGAGAAAAATGGAGAGCCACCTTCAAATATGGTTGGTATATGAACACGACAGTCTCCAAATCACGAAAACTACCAGATCAGAATTCTCAAGGAATGACCAGAGCCTAGACTTAAGCAAGCTAATAATTCATTAAAAATTTGAGAAGTCAAAGACTGTCATACATTAACCTTATTATACTGTAAGCTTATTTTTAACCTTTCAATTATTTGTTCGATCAACATGTTGATCAATTTATTATTCTCCAAATCCGGAGGGTAATTTAATAATTCAGTTGGGCCAAATATTTGAAGCTGCCTTGGTCACTTATATTAAACTCTTCTTCCCCTACACTAATACATTTCTGTAGCTGGTTTTTACATTTAATCATGTATTACACTGCATAATTTTAAAACTTGTTTCAAATATGCTTTCCACCTGCCCAATTGAATTTTATTTCCCTTTAGAGTAGGGACTGGGTCACAGTGCCTAAACCAGTATTGAGTACACAGGAGGTATTTAAGGGGAATTTGTTGAAATGATTTGAACTTTTCTCCACTATCTACATATCCAGCACCCAACGAGGGCTACTTCCCTTCTGTTGCACTCAACAATTCGATTCACTCACACAAGTATACAGTAATAGTCATAGATTCTCAGTTTATGGTTTTAATGGTTTTGCAACATTAGATGCACAGCGTATTCCCAGGCACCAAGTATGCTTAAAATTGAATATTTTTTAAAGATAATAAAAGTTAATGACTACCCATGATCTATGATCTGACAATACGTCTGGTCTTTTTCATCCTGAGATGGTAAAATACCTGCCCTAGCTTACTGTCTCACAGTGAGAAAGAAAAAATATAGTCCTATTAATCACTCTTAACTATCAGCTTATTAAGTTATAGTTTCCCAAAAGGCTTATCTTACATGACTGTTAATAGGCTGCGGGTGTTTTCCTAAAAGAGTGTTTTTATAATGTAGTTATGTCATAAACAGACAGCATGGAATAAAAGAAAACCTAGTGGAATAAGAATCAGAAAGTCTAGGTTCTAAATTCTAGTTTGGTTAAGCAGCCCTGAAACCTTAAGCAAGGTACCACCTCAATTGTCTCCAATTTTCTGATCTGTAAAGTGAAAGGATTGATTATAAACAAATTTATGCCAAATTGCACCAGACCGATCAGGAGGTAACTAGAACCTAAGAATTTCACAAAGGACCTTCTAAGAGAAATCTGTCCACAATGAAACAGCTTAAACTGAACTATAAAATTGGGATTTTTGTTACTATTGTTAACCTTACAGGTAAATTTGTTGCCTAACAACTGTGGAAGTACACAGAAACAGAGAAGAATGATTCACATGAAAAAACAATCATGACTACTGATATACATTGATAAACCTAAATTGTGTGAAAATAACCAAAATTTTAATATTGGCTAAATACCTACTCAGAGAGATAACTATTATACATACATTTTCCAATGGACAAAAAGGTTGCACTCCAAAAGACTGTAAATCTATTTTTGTGAAACTTTGTAAATGGAGGCTAGCAGTTTCTAGACTAAACCCATAAGGGCCACAGTGACACTTGATGTAGTTAAACTATAACATAAAAGCAAATGGTTGAGTTTGAGGTTCTGAGAATGGTGTTTGTGTCATATGAAAAGGTCAGTTTCCTTCCCTGTTCTCAGGGAAAGAATTGAAAGTAAGCAATTATTAAAACTAATTTACCTTAGTCATGCACTTCTACTTAACATTCTAATCTTTTTATACTCTGATAGGCCACAGAGCCCGAATCATGATGCTGAAAAAATTCCACCTGGTCCTACCTACTAAAGGGTTCTGAGTTACAACAGCCCTTTCTTGGGCCTTCCAATTGTCATTCCACAGCCACGGAGCAATTGATGGACATTTTGACAAAACACCCAGAAAACTTTACCACTTCTAGACCCTAACTAGAGCTAAAACAGACCACTTGTTACTTATAAAAGCAAAAGTATTAGAAATTTAAGTGTTAAAAATTTTAGAGACGTGGTCAAGTAAATTATACATCCATACAATAGAATATTATGCCACCATTTAAAAAAATGTTTACAAATGAGCTGTAATGACATGGGAAACATTTAAAAGATAATACAGAATAAATAAGGGACATACTAAATGCTGTATTCTTTATGAACTCAATTACGGAAAAAACACATTGAGAAAGACTAGAAGGAATCACAACTGTTGGGTAGTAGAATTATAATTTATTGCTTTTTTCTAGCTAGTACACAAATCCATGCTTACCAGATTTTCTCATGTTAAGTACCACTTCTGTTATTTTTAAAAAAATGGGGAGAAAAGTATAAATTCAAATAAATCTCTATTAGAACTTTAGACAGCTATAAACAGTGCTAATTATCAGGCATTGTGGAAATAAAGCTTTGAAGGAAAGGGAACATTCCTTTCTTTCACTTTGCAAAAGAGTTTAATTACAAGACTTAAATTCACCACTTTATAAAGTTGTGATTATGAAAATGTTGCTTACTGCCACTGCTACTGCATTTTATAAATTCAGTAAAATGTATTAGTGATATTTGTTACCCTTGATTAAAGATACTGGATATTTCTTTTAATATAAAAAAATAATGCAGGTTTGTGATTTAGACAAACAGGAAAAAATGGTTTCATAATAGAAGCCCTGATTCCATTTTACAATGCTTTCTCAGATATAGCAATAGTCTCTGACTTCTAAATTTTTCTTGAATGTAACCCTGTGTATATTTTATTTACACACTAATTGCTCTTCTATACATCTTATTTCATTTACCATACCTTAGAAAATTTATATATCAGTATGTGTAGATCCTTTATAAATATTAATTAATATTCTAGGATATAGGTGTAACACAATTTATTAGTAACCCCTTACTGATAAACATTTAAATTATTTCCAGTTTTTCTCTATAACAAACAAGGCTTCAGTGACACTCTTGTACAAACACTTTTACGTACATGAACAGGTATATCCTTAAGATAAGTTCTTGAAAGTATAATTGTTGAGTCAAGGAGTATGTGTACATTTTTTAAAAATCTGGTATTGCCAAACTGCCTTCCAAAAAATTTGTACCAATTAACACTCTAGGGGAACATTTATGATCAACAAAGATTTTTTAAAGCAAACTCCAATGCTGTCAATGGCCAGGAAGGTAACATATTAGTGAACAGACTAGGGTAAGAAAATGGCAAACTGGAGAGCATACTCAGTCATCAAAAGCAGCAGCTACTACTCAAGTCCAGTCTACTAATAATGCCTTCTAGGAATCTGTGCTCAATGTCGTTGGATTCTGACCTCTCATAAGCCCCAAATCTAGACTTCTGCATGAAATCTCCAGATTTTTTTAATGTTAACAACTCATTAAAATTTTAGAACTGACATTACTAACAAAACACATGTGTGAGTGGAAATGTTGGTACAAAACTTTGGGAGCTTCCCCAGTGAAATGTGAAACCAGGCCCCGTACACAGAGAGCAAGGAGAAACCAAAGAAAGAGGCAGACAACTCCAGATTGGTAGGTGGCAGTTATAACAAACAAGGGAACTTACCAGCTTATCTTGGACGGCTGCAAGACGAGTAGATCTTCGCACTCACCTGCCAAATCCTGAAACTTTATATAGAGGCCTTAAATGGGTGCAGTCACATATACCTTACAGATGGTCTTTACACATTGCTCTGTCAAGGCTGTGTCCTTGAAAATGGCTCCCACAGTGGGAATGGTGGGCAGTACATACATTAAAAGGACAGGGAGGAGGTGAGGAGCCTCTGATTGCCCAGGTCCAATTCTCAGGTTGCACCCTCTCAATTACCTTTTCTAACAAGGAATCATCTGTTGGACCTCCAACTGGTGACCTATGCTTTAAAACTTTCATGCCTCCCATCATCCCACATCCAACAAAGACTGTCATGGCAATCGGCTATATTCAACATATTGCTTTAATGCTGGGATTTTCTTAGATCACATTTAGTTTTTGGATGAACTATGTGGTCACTATCCACTGAAACTATTTGAATAACTTAACTTTGGCCCAGATGTTTCATTAATCAAGTTACTATAAAATGTTCCCTTGACTTACATTTTTATTTCCTTAGAGTGCTGTGTTTGTTTTCTTTCTTATATGGAACTACTATAGGTTTTAAGACTTGAGTCATTTTCCTATTAGTGTAATCTTCTTTTAAGGGAAAAACAATTTCTAATCACTTTCTATACTACCTTCCATTCAACATATCCATCTACTTACAGAAGAAATTGTAGGAATACAGTAAACTAAAAAGCCTTGCTGCCTCTAGATTAAAGAGTATTTTTAATACATATAAAATCTTTTTTATATTAACTACATTCTATGGTTTAAAAAATAAGGATAATGTAAAAGAATAAACGCTGAAATTGCCAGATCTATTTAAATTCATGGATAAAATACCATGATATTTTTAATGTTTTATTATTTCATCTACATAAATACTTGCAAAGGGACCAATCTGACAAAACCAATGTACTGTGTAATTATAAACAGAAATTAATGTTTATAAACATTAAAATTAAATGTAATATTAAAGAAGTCAGTTACTTATCTGAAAATACATAAGGCCACGCTCTCTTCTACAATTAAGTTTTAAAAACCAAACTTTAAAAAATTATTACCTTCATGTATTATAAAGCATATAAATCTTAATTTTAGAGCTAACAGTAATTTTTAAGGAATTCCTAGTTTTTAATGTAATCCATTGAGAGATGTTTTAATATCTAAAACATATAACAAATGAGAACTAAAAAACGTATTAAAGAAGCTTTATAACTTAGCAAAGCTTTCAATGTATATGTCTATATACGTATATACACAATACATATTTGTCTATATGGACATATACATTGTCTACATTTGTCAATGACAAATATACCAGCGGATCATATGAGAAAATATGCATGGATATGCATAGCCACGGATATGCCACTGGATAGTCTGCTTTTAGTTTCTGGATGCAAAGTCCTAAACATTACAAATTTCTTCATTAGCATTTCTAAATATGTGTATGTTCCTACTTCCCCTTAAAAGATATGCTGTAACTACTCAAGTGTGTCTTTTCAAAATAAAAATTGATTGGACACCCTAAAATTTAAAAACCAACATTATGCATTAGGCATATTTCACTGGAACTCAACATTTTAGTCGTAAAAAGCGAATTTAAGAAAAATTACATATTTAAATTGTAATCTGCATATCAGATTACTTCTTTAAATTGTGTCTTCAGAAGTCACAGATAAAACAAGTTATTTGAGAGATATAGTAAAATATTATATTTTAATTTTACCTAAAATATAAATTAAAATAAGGCATAAGAAAAACTTTGACCACAATATATATGGAAAACTGACCACTGAATGATGTAAATAATTCATACAATACAGTGTAAGCTTTAATACATAAACTAAATGTCATTTCATCAGATTAGTCACATCGTCTAAACTATACAATATATATTAAAATATTAAAAAGCTAAAAAACATCATTGCAATATAGATTCAATATGGGAAAATACATATTTGTGGCTTTATATACAATCTCAATTAATCCAGTCTATACGATAGTTTTCCAAAATATAAATGGCACTTTACATGCAACAGAACATACCAGGCTGGATGTTCTAATGTATTTTAATATATAGGAAAATAAAGAGAAAACATCCTTTTAAACAAGACAGTTACACAGCAGAGGTGGAATGTAGAAGATTTTGCCTTAACACAATCTTGTATAAGGTTAAAGAAACATCAATAAAGGGCAGTTTCTACTACTTTCAATTAGCATTTTTTTAAATGAAGATTACTGTGATTTTATATTTTTCTAATTGTATCACAAATTGAGAAGATATAAAAGGGAAAAAAGGCAGGCCTGGGGTGGGGGGAGAAAACCTGATCCTTCATGAATTTTAAACATCAATCCTGCCTATAGGCTGCATTGAGGAATGCTTTTCTGTTGACAGTTTCCTAAATTACTTCTGCCATTCTGAATTGTACATCTGTAGTCAGATGAATTTTCCAGACTTTGTTATGCCATTGTGTAACCATAGCTGCCACAATGTAGTGCCACAAGAAGTCTGTCCTTGAGTATTTCTTTACTTGGGTATTCAGGTAACTTGAGCATGTTGATGCTTTAAAAAAATATATACAACACCATTAAAAAAGAAATTTATGAAATTTCTAATTCATTTGTCTAGCAGTGAAAACATTAGGCAAAATTAACATAAAACCACCCTGTCAAATTTGCATTCAAATTGGAAAACCCTGCAGTAGTATTTAAAAAGTAAAAAAACAAAAAAACAAAAAAACAAAAACTGCTGCATTGCAGTTTCCTTTAGCATGCAAATGTAGTGGAAGAAAATAACTTTGTTTCAGCCCAAAATAAATAAGCAATAGGGCGATTTAGTTTGAATTGATGGTGTAACTCAGCGATATTATGACAGTTTAACTTTAGTGATAGTTGAATTATATTCAATTAAATTATAGCTAGTTTCCTCAATATATTCCCTACCAAAAAAGAGAGAGGCAAGGAACTATGTAGCTACTTATTTTTCAGTGATTCCAAAATGCTGATAGAAATCTCTGTTGAGGTTTTCCTCTCAATGTAGCAATATAGTAAACTTTTGATTACTCAATATCAATCAAAACAATCCAAAATGAATTTAAATAAAACAACTTAACATACCATGTGCTTGAAGTAGGTAGAAGATTTGGAGTATATGGCACAGCAGCAATTGTAAAGTTTTGCAATCCACTTCCACCCATGATATTAGCAAATCCACCGTGTGGGACCCTGGAACTAACAATTCATATCTTACTAAGTTGTAATCATGAAAGGAAAATCTTTGTGATAAATCTACTTCAAATTCTAAGATAGCATAAGAATATATTCAACTCTAGGTCACTGACATGGTAACATTCTGAATCTGCCAAACTCCAACTCATTACTAAAAGGTGCTCTGTGGCCAGTCGGCAAGCTCCCATGGAGACACCTCTCCCCATTTCTAAGCCATACTATGCTTTCAATCAGCCACAGCACTTATCTCTACTACTGCATTTGGCATACTGCATGTACGATTATTTTCTTTCATGTACCTCCCTAATAAACTAGGGCTGATTTGAGAGTCCAAATACATATTTGTACTTGTATTCCTGAGGTTAGCGAAGTGACTGGCATGTAGTAGACATTCATTAAATATTTGCTGAGTAAATGAATGTTTGCTTGATTAATTAAAGCAAAAGAGGCTCTTACATGTAATCCAAATAATTTCCTTGTTTGTGAAAAATACCAAGGGTCAAAGAGGTTGTGTTTTGTTTTTCACAGTGGAAAAACTAGAAAATTCTTTACATTTCTCTTTCCGGAGATTCACAATATCAGATGTATTTTTTTAAATGTCACCTAACATAATAACACCACTAGAAAATTTAATCTTCGGTGTATGGCTACAGAGGATATAGTTACAACTTCCAAAATTCTATTTTTTACATTTGAAAGAAACTATTTCAAATTAGCCTTTCTACGTATATCATAATTACACAAACTGATCCTATAATAAATTTTGTTGTTTTTAAAATGAGATGCTGTAGTGCTTTTTAGATAAATTACAATGACAAACATTTAATGTGTATGTATTAAATGCAAAGTCAAAGTCAGTAAACTAATATTAAAACTGTTTTCTAGCATATTATTCACAGTACAAAGCAAAATTCAGTTCATTTTAAAAAACTTTTGAAACTTAAATAACCAAAACAATCTTGAAAAAGAACATGGTCAAAGAGGTCTCACAGTTCCTGATTTCAAAACTTAAACTACAAAGTAACAGTAATCAAAACAGTGCGGCACTGGCATAAAGACAATCATATAAACCAATGGAATAGAGAACCTAAAAATAAGCCCTCGCATATATGGTAAAACAATTTTTGACAAGAGTGCTAATAACATTCAATGGGGAAAAGACAGTCTTTTCAACAAACTAGAAAGACTGGGAAAACCACACATACACACAAAAATGAATTTGGACCCTTATCTAACATCATTTACAAAAATTAACTCAAAATGAATCAAAGACCTAAACTTCAGAACTAAAACTACAAAATTCTTAGAAGAAAATTATCTATTTTTCTTTTTTTGCCTGGGCTTTTAGTGTCATTAGAAAAATAACAAAAGAGCCCTACCTCACAACATAAACCAAAATAAAATCCAGTCAGTTTAAAATTGAAATGTAAAAACAGACTCTATAAAAAGCTACAGGAAAAAAATGTACTATATAAATAAAATGTACTATATAAAGTACTGATAATCATCTTGCAACATAATTTAAAACTTTTATTTTATAAATTGTATAAATTAAATTTATAATTTAAATTATATGAAAACCTCTATAGTTAACTTAATAAAGTTAAAAGGCAAGTGATAAACTGAGAAAACTATTTAATGTCACTAATATATCAAGAATATTTAAAACTCAATTTTTTTAAATGGCAGCAGAATAATACACAAAAAATGAAGACAGGCAATTCACATAACACACAAAAAATTATATAAATAAGAAGTTATATTAAAATAAAAACAATTACATCTTATATTGATAGAATAAAAGGAACAGGCCCTCTCACTCTCTGCTGATGTGAATACTGATCTTTCTGAAGGGTAAATTAACCATATGCATCAAGGTTAGAAAAATGTATATAATTTTTTATCTAAAATTTCTCTGTGAAGAATTTATCCTATATAAGTAACACAGGATATTGGCCTGCAAGTATACAAGAATTCCTTATATGGTCAGCATTATTCATAAACAGGAAAATTTAGCAATAAAGGACAATATCAATTAAAGGAAGTTTATAAATTGAAGAATAGGCAGCCATTTAAAAATTAGATCTATAAATGGAACAATTTTTAATGATATATTGCAAAATACAAAAGTTATAAAACAGGAACAATGTTTTTAAAAAGTAAAAATTTATCTATGTGAGAATATTATAGAAGAATAACAAATATGGCAACAGTGATTATCTTTGGTGACTGAGATTACACGATATTTTTAATTTGAATTGTCTAACTTTACTACATAGAAAATATAATTTTTAATTATTTTTATTAAACTACTCAACCTCTAGGTATTTCTTGGAACGAAGAAGCCAAAAAAAAAAAAAAAAAAAACCCCACAAAAAACAAACTCCCAAAACTTAACAAGGTTTTCTTTCACATCTTTAGTCTATAATCTGTGAATATTCATGTTTTATTTACTCTTTAAAATTAGATAGATGTATTGTGTGACTCCAACTATTTATCTAACATATAGTTAAAAGACTATGAAAATAAAGCAAAATGCTAATAGTGTTATCTCTGTATAGTAGAATTACTTAATGGGATTTTCATTTTGTTTTATCTTCCCTATTTTCCAAATTTTCTATAATGGTCATATAGATTTTTTTAAAAAAGACAAAAGTAGACTTTAAATTACATACATATATCATACATATATAGATATACACTCACAATTATATTTTTAACATAAGCAAAAAATGGAGAGAAGTAAATTGTTTATAGTAGTTTACAATAGTTGCTGCTGGCAAAGGTAGTTTTCCTCTAATATTCCTATTCCTCTAATATTCTGTGTTGCAACTTTCCTCGCAGAACCATGTACACTTACAATGAAATAATCAAACTGTATTTTCATAAATAGGATAACACAGATAAAATTCTGAGTTATCAAGAATGAAAATCAAACTTTTTTTTTTACATCTTTCAGAAATATAACTTAAAAGATTTAAATCATCTAGTTTTCTAAACTATAATATTTAATTGGTTGCAAAAGTAAACTTTTCAAAGTGTGGTATCACGAATTATTTTTTGGCCATGAATCATGAGAATTTAAAAGTTTGGTAAGAATTGGAGAAAAATTGCTGTGTATGGGTATAGTGTATGTGTGTATGTGAGTGTGTGAGTGTGTGTGTGTTGCCCAGCAACATACAAATATTAAAAATTGGGCTACTATCATTGACTTATTTATAGAATGAAAAGATTACCAAATTATAAAATTAATATACATGCTGATAGTTCTGCTTGGAACATATTTTTTTTTAATACGTAAAATAAACATTTACTGAAAACTATATGTGTTTTATAAATGCCTAAATAAATCCTTGTTCAATATAAAAAAAGCATAAAGGGAGGTAAGAAACTGACAATTCATTTTGGTTGTTTATCACTAAACCATAAATTCTTTCCACATTATCATAAAAACACTTCTTACCTGCCAGTAACAAACTGCAGGAGAAGAACTCTCTCCTCTGGAGTAATATTTTCCACAACTTCCCAGAACCACTAACAACAACAACAAAAAAAAAAACTTAGCTCATATTTCAGAGCAATTGTAGACTTCTTAATACCATAGAAATATGCAGCATTCATAAAGCATATTTTATTCTAAGAAACTCATTTATCAAAAGTGATTTCAGACAAAGCTTTCATATGCAATTCCCATGAGAAGAATTTAGGAGAAAACTTTACTTTGTTAATTAATGTAGATTTTCATCCAATAGTGCTGAAAAGCTTACAAAATTAAATGGCAAACTTAACTTCATTCTAAGCTCTGGAGAATTTTTACCTGAATAACGGGATCTTCTCTTTCGTAGCCACTTGTGTATTCTGTATTTTTTATCCAATCACTCACATCAATTTCTGGCATGCCAGAAAGCAGTAGCTCCTTTGGGGAAAAAGAAAAATATTTCATTAATCTTCTCTGGGAGTAAAAAAAAAAAAAAAAACTATTACATTTAAATAGTAAATCTGCCTTAATTAGACACTAATTCCATGTAAAACTGATTTATTTTTGTGACAGTTTCTGCACGTCATCAATTAACAAGTAGTACATGGGAGAGAACCCTTGATACTGATAATCTCAAATACTATGAGACTAAAGATATCTCTTTACTGATACAATTTAAAACATAAGAAACAATAATTTATGTTTATATATAAACACATGTGCAACAAGTTTATATGTGCAACAATTTTATGAATATTAACTTTAGTTTTATGAATGTTATTAAATTCTAGAGACCATACTCTCAATATGAAAGTGACAACAAAGATCTGAATCCTAAATTAAGCAAAATAAATAAATAAATAAATCATCAAGAAACCTTAATCATTAGGGAAAGGAAGTAATATAATAATTATTTTTTAAAAAAGAATCAAGCCTTTGAAGAACTCTATTCTGGAATAATTCGGATCCTTTAAAGTTAACTTTCCTCTAGTTGAGAAAAAAATGTAATTTCCCTAATAACTTTTAGTAGCCTTTTTTCCAGGAACATCATCAAACGAAATAGCAATCAAACAACTAAAAATGAAATTAATATTGGCAAAAGTATTTACCACTATTTTCCCAAGAGAAAAGAGAACATGAAAAAAAGCTTGTCCACATCTCAGAATCAGTCCATTTCTCACAGTTGGATGTGTTTAGTCACATGAGGCAATAACTAACCTACACTGAACTAAATGCCAACAAGCCAGAATTGCAAGGTTTGTTATTACAAAAATATAGATATAATGTGGTTCAAAATCACATTTCCTACAGCAACTACTCATATTATATAAATGACTAGAGGGTGCTTTGAAGATTAATGAAGGTTAACTTAAGTCGATGCCTAAGAACTCTTGGGGGTTCCTGCAAGGTTCTCCCTTTTCTAACTTATCTGAGGCTCAACTTTCTCCATATAGTTCTACCAAAATATCACAACAGATAATGTGCAGAAGCAGATGTGAAAAACCAGTTGTCTTCTAATAAGACAGCCATTAAGGAAACTTGCAAAAATGTATAATACCACTCTACCTACTATTTTTGTTTTATTCTGGAAAATAGTTTTAATTTTTAAAATGTTATTTATGTTAATATGTAATGTTTTATATATATAAGACATTTTACATTTCTGTTTTAATTTCAAATACAATAAATATCAATTAACATAACTCACATAAATAAAAAGGCTTTTGTTTTAAGGTGGTCCTAAGATCAAAAAGTTTGAGAACTGCTAGTGTTTTAGTTCTCCTTGCCGTAATACTATAAAATCTTTTACTAGATGAAGGTATTCTGGTTAGTGTCCATTTTCCACCGCCTTTTTCTGCACTGCCCTGTGCCCTAGGAAACTGATCCCAGCAGAATGGGCCTATTGGCTTCAGGTTGGGCCTGTCACTGTAAACAGTCAAAAGTCTGAAGGTCAGAGTACTTTCTGCTCCCTCCCGGCATCAGCACATCTTTTCAAAAGCCATGTCTGCTCATCACAGGGCTCCTTACAATAATTCTTCCACCTGTCTCTTCAATTCTAGGAATGATAAAGGCTTTCCACTATCTCTGGATGCCTCACCAAATTTTATTCCTAACACTGCCCACACTTCTGCAATACTCCTTTTCTTAAAGCTTCTTTATTTGAAACATCTGGGGAAATTCTGTTTTGTGGCTGGACTCTGATACTGATCTGCCAAAAGGGAGTGAGAATGAATTTTACATGTTTTTTACAATCTATAAGTTTAATCTTCTTCCTTCTAAGCTGAAAATAAGCTTTTAATAACATTAAGTATGTGTTCACTGAAAACAATTAATAAAAATGACTAAAACTATATTCTCTCAAGAAATTTGACCTATTTCATGAATATCATGTTATAACTTTTTATGAAGAGGATAAAAGACTTTTATTATCCCATTTAACACTTGGGCAAAAGTTATTAAATTGACTGAAAACAAATAGTTGGAAGGGGAATTTTACAATAAAAAGTACATATACCAAAAAATTTTAAGTCCTAATCAATAATTTATTATTTTTTTAAAAAAATTACAAAATAACTGAATTAATCTGTTGAAACTGGGTACAACATATATAACCCATACTATCAAGCAGAAACTGAGTCATCCAAGTGTTTATAACCATTAGCGTAATTAGCAGTCACGTGGACTCAATGTTTTAATCTTCTGGTAACCCCATTGATAAATTCATAAGCAACACAGTATGGAAGGACAGTCCCTCAGACTGCAGCAGTATTATAGATGTGTTACAACAATGTTGCCACCATTTTTGAACGTAATAATCATCTCTTGACTTAGGACTGCATTCTGTACACAATGGATGATACACCTCCATTTCAGGACACTGACACTACTAGTTTTCGTCTTACTAAAACTCTGGAATCTAACCTGTATCCTTTAACTCAGATGCACATCTAAGCTTAGATGCTTACGACAACTTTTTAAAAAAATTTCCTATCCCAGTGTAGCATGGCTCTTTCCTATGAAAGACAGAGTCATACAAAAGGTCCTAAAACCAAGTACCACTTAGAACTCATGCCACTGAGAGGCAGTTTGGCAACACTGATGAAGAGAATCTGAGTTCTGGGTCACAGTGGTTCACAGTCTGACTCTAACACATACTCTATGAACACAGGCATGTTCCGCACCTTCTTTGGCCTAGTGTTACCCATGTATAAAATGGCAATAATAATACTTACCTCAGAGGTCCGTTGTGAAGATTTTAAAAGTTAATATGTAAAAAGCACCTGGCAAATACCAAGTATTTGATAATAAAACTATCATTACTGCATAAATCAGGGTCATCCTACAGCATGCTCCATAATCCCACCATCTGAATCAGCTCAACCTAGTAAAGCCAGAGTCTAATACAGTCTAGCAAACCTGACCTAACGTCTAATATAAAAACCACAATTAAACTTTTTCCAGCAGCAGACCTGAATGTGAAAGGCAGAATAAAGCTTTTAGAGGAAAACAGAAGAAAATACCTTCATGACTTTGGAATAAAAAATAGTTTCTTAAACAGGACACAAAAAGTCTCATCCATTTAAAAAAAGAAAAGAAGAAACAAGTGACAAACTGAACTGTGTTAAAATTAAAACTTTTTATTCACTAAAAGACACCAAAGTATAATATATATATATAAAGACTCCTATAAAGAACAAAGAATCCTAAAAATTAGTAACAAAAACCCAGAAAACACTAGAAAAATGGACATATTACTTAAACAAACAGTTCAAAGACAGAGTACACAAATGGCTAATAAACACATAAAAAACATTTAACTTCATTAATCACCGGGGAAATGCAAATTAAAAGCACAACAAAATACCATTACTGATCCACTAGAATAGTAAAAATGAAAAGGAAAGAAAATATCAAATGTTTGTGAGGAACAGGAATACCCAGAAACTCTCTTATTTGTTGATGAGAGTGTAAACTGACATACCACTTTAGAAAACTATTTGCTAGTATCTACTCTAATGGACTAAATGCACACCCTATATGCCAGTAATTCTACTCCAAGGTATGTAACCTACAGAATGAAATGCATGCATATGCTCTCCTAAAGACATGTACTCGAATGATTATAGCAGCACAATTTTAAATAGTCTGAAACTAAAAAAAACAAAAACAAAAAAACAACCCAAATGTTCAAGAATAGAAAAGACAAAAAAGTATACTGATACAATGAAATATTATACAGGAATGAAAATGATTAAATTACAACTGCATGCAACAACAGGAATGATTCTCAAAAACAAAAAGCTGAGTTAAAGAAGTCAAATATATTCCAGGTGATTATTCCATTTACATTAAGTTAAAAAACAGGCAACCTAATCTGTGATATCAGAAGTCAGGAGAGTGGTCACCCATGACAGGGGATAGTGAGTGGAAGAGGACATGAGAGGAACATCTGCAATGCTAGGATTTCTCAGTTCCTTGATCTTTCATCCGTATGTACTCAGCCTGTGAAAATTCATCAAGCTATACATTTATGATGTATGTATTTTTCTCATGTATATTCTAATTCTATAAAAAGTTTCACAGGACTTAAATTATGTGGCAAAGTTTTTGTCAATTATTTATTTGTGGCCATTTGTTTTTTATACCACAGGCCCAGAAATAATGTAATTCTCTGTTTAACAGTTCATAAGTAAGTATTCCTCCATTTTTAAATGCTAAAAATAACTTTTATCATTATGAAAAAATTAGACAAGTCTATGCTAAACCATTAATCTTAAACCTAAAAACACAATCAAAAAAACTCAAAACTGATTATTTAATGAGACTAAATCAAAAGTGACTTAAAATTAATTAGTAAATTTTGTTCACTACTTTAATAAGATATACTATGAGTGATTAGTTAAAAATACTGGTATATATGTAAAATTGAAAGTACACCAATGTACTTATTCATATATTAAAATGAAAGGTATAGGGTAAATATACTATGAGTGATTAGTTAAAAATACTGGTATATATGTAAAATTGAAAGTACACCAATGTACTTATTCATATATTAAAATGAAAGGTATAGGGTAAAACTAATTCTCTGAGATAGAATAGAAACTAAAGGATACTTTTACATTGATCTAGTTACTATTCCAAATTATACTTTTCAAAATAGGAAAAGACCTATACTCTATTAGGAAGTCAAAGAGTTTGAAAATAATTTATTGCCAAAAATAAGAGAAAAAAGAAATAGGAGAAAATGCAGACATAAATCATATATAATTAGAAATCGCATTAGATAATAATAGTAAAAAGTAGGCAAACTAAAGGATCATAACAAAACATTCAATAGAGACTAGAAACTAGCAAAGAGTGGATTCCACAGAGGTTTAAAATGGAAAATTATAAAATTACATATAAGCTGAAATAAGAAGCTGCAGAAGGTAACACAAATACAACAGAAAAACCCTCTTAATTCTTCTTTTTGGAAGTACAAAAAGTTAGAATCAGGATCCTTTACTTCATATGACCAAATAAAAAAATTCAGAAATAATATGAATGTTGCTTTTGGAAGACTGCCCTTCAATATCTCCCACGTATACTTTGGAAATAATATTCTGTTCCTGTTTATTGCCACAGCACTCCATTTCACATTAAAGAATTGCTAATCTGGTTATTAAGCTTAAGAGAAATGACAATCACACATTTTATAACAAATCTCTAAACATATACATTAAACATATTTCTTAATATACATTATTCCATTCATCCTAGTATTCCAAAATTATTTCTGAATTACATCAACTGTAGTTTTGTACTGTTGAGTAACAACAAAAGAATTGATGTTTTTCCTTACCAATTCATATTCATCAAAAAGTTGTATTAGAGAAGGTGGAATGAACATATGAAAGCCCTGTAAAAAAGCATTGATCTGAGGCTGAATAGCTCGTGTCATTCGAAGTTCAGTAACAAGCTGGACATACTCCGCCTATAAAAAAAAAGTTTTTGTGGTGACTTTGTGGTGACCTTTTTTGATTCCACATACTTTAGATAATGTTGATACAATCACTCTAATTTAAGAGGTAAAGGTTTAGAATTAATTTATAATACTGAACGTCAACTATAATTGAAAAATCAAAAAAAGGGGAAAAAAGAAGGGGAATAAGAGGTTCAAATTTCCAGGAATAAAACAAGTCATGGGGATGTGGTGTACAGCATAGGGAAAAAAGTTTATAATATTGTAATAGTGTTGCACGGTGTCAGATGGTTGCTAGGCATACAATGGTGATCACTTCTGTAGGTATATAAATGTTGAATAACTATGATGTACACCTGAAACTAATACAAATTGTATGTTAGCTATATTTGAATGAAAACTTTAAAAAAAGAATTAATTTGGCACCAATATTTATACATTCAGTAAACCAGTACCTACCATTCACTAAATTGTTCAGGCCGAAAACCTAGGAAGCAATCACCCATGATTTCTTTCACATCCTGTAACAGCAAGTGCTATCAGATCTACCTTCAAAAATTATTCCCAATCTGACCTTGTCTCACTACCTCCACTTTCAGCACCCTGGTCCAAAGCCAGCATCATCTTTCACCTGGATTACCGCAATACCTGGTGTCTCTGTTTCCATTTTGCCTCTGTACTGCTTCTTCTTCACACCAATTTTTTTTAATATGGATGTTTTATATATATCTTTATATATAATTCAGATCACATAGCTCTCCTGCCCAACACTCTACAATGACTTCTCATGGCACTTAAAGTAAAATCTAAATTCCTTTCCTAGTCTATAAGGCCCTAAGTGACCTAGGCCTCTGCCTTCCTCTTTCATTTCATTTCCATCCACTCTCCCCCTTGTTCACTCACACTATTCCCCAAACACAAGCTTGTCTCAGTGTCTTTATATTTCCTGGTGTCTCTGACTGAAATGGCTCATTAGGATATAATCTCTCTGCAGGCAGGGCTCTGTCCGGTTTACTAGCATATATCCTCAGCTCCTCAAACAGTGGTGGCCACTTTGCAAGTGTTCAAAAATATGTAATAAATACATACATTCAACAAATTCATTTAATACATACTTGCTAAAATAGTTCATTTAAGTGTAGCCGATTTGATTTAGTTAAGGTAAGCTATTTTTGCACATTTTAAAATACATTCCCATCATCATAGAAAATACTGTCGCTTAAAATTTAACTGGTAATAAAAAAATGTATACTGGCTCAGACTAGAATGAATTATCAAGTCTATATATATCAATTGTCATTTCTATATTTTAAATTACATCTAAGTGAAACTTTTGAGTTAAAAGCAATGTTGTATATAGTTCTCACGTCTCAGGAACAAATGCTTTAAACACAAAGGTCAGAAAGCTTGTTTTAGGACCATTTATTTATTTATTTATTTAGGCACTAATCTGATGCTCTGTTCTCCAGCGCCCCACTCCTTGCACCCCCCCTAAAAAAATGACAGACACTGAGCCAGCAAATTATATATGACTACTAACTATGAATTCTCCATATCTCAGAGCTACAGAAGTGGTATAGTGGATTTCTCACAGCTCTCCCCCAACCCCACATCGCTCCTTATACAATCTGGTACAGAGAAAGCTGCCATCTCTGCTATTTAATCTATTCCCACCCTAAATCCCACTCCCTACCACTCAAAAGTTTTTCTCCACTATATAGGAATTAATTAGTTACTACAAGTTACATTACTAGACAGAGAGAGACAGAAATATGTGCCAAACAATCAAACAGAAATATAAAACTAAATTTTCAGGGTCCAATCAAGAAATAGTATATAACAACATACTAAGTGATAACTAGCAGTGATTTCAGCATTAGCACATGATTATCTTCCAATTTCTATCTGCTCTAACTAAAGTTGCTTACTGAACATACAATTTTCCTCCTCCATTCATTCATTAATTATATGTTTAAGGTGCTCTATGAGACCCTATCTTCCCTTAACAAGAACAGCTTTTTCCCAAGAGGTTTCACTTTTATAATCTTAAGGTTCAATAATCATTGCTCAAGACCTTAATAAATTAAAGCATGAAAATAAAAGATTTGTGAATCGCTCAAGTACACTTAACCTATTTTAATTTGCCATTGCATTCCATATATAAGAATAATACACATTCTCTTTAACAATTCCCATTATTTCCTCATACATTCTATTTTTATAAATTTTCACAAGTATACTAAACTCTCCTGAAACATCCCTTATATTCCATCTAATATTATTTTCCACATTTATTTCTGTAACTCTGGCCCACAGTTATTGGATATCAATTTATGAAAATCAGGTCCTTCAGGTACCAGTCTCCATACTGTTAATTTAAATGTGAACGGATGTTGGTCTAAATTATTTCTCAGTACAATAATAAATCCTAACCATCACAAATCCTTCTGAGTATAGTAAAATAAGTTTTCCAAGTAGCTGAGAGATACCGTGTTTAACTGTGAAAGTCTACAGAAAACAGAAAATATCTATATCAAACTGCTTCTAAAATATGTTGCTCTGCCTTCCTTAAACAGCACATCCTCAAATAGAATAATACACATTAACATTTTCTTGATACAATAATTACTATGAACATTCGCTATTAGTATGCACTAACATTTTGACTGTTCATATTGTGCTATAGAAATACACTGGCTGCATTCCCACTACTTATAAAGGCAGCTAAATGACTCACTTCCACACTTTATGCCCTTGCATAACTACACCAAATATCTTACATGCCTTAAAGAAACAGTGGACCCATAGACGACAATCAGTCTACAAAACAATGGCATAAAGAGCTGCACAATTAAACATTAAATATAAACCAAACCTAAAATCTCACTTTGTTTTAAGGTTTTAAAAGAAATGATATAATTGGGGGGGCGGGGGGAGGGGAGGGAATCTTTTATCCCCAACAGATGGCATATTTATTCCCACCTGAGTTCTGTTAATTCTTTGAGGGCATAAAATAATACCAGATGCCAAATCGAATAATTATCTATATAGAAGAATTTGAGTTAGTACTTGTGTTAACATAAAGAAAGTTTTCAACTTAGAAATCCATGGAGGTAAGAACAACAAAAAGTCCTAGCATCTTTTTTTCTAGCTCAACTTCTGAGCCTGATAACTGATACAAGAAAGCAAAAAATAACAGCAAAGGGAAAAATAACACTAAGATTAAGAAGATGCAACTTTCAGATGCTATGTTCCAGTTAAATTACATGTCCAGTTACAGAAACATTTTAATAATCTCCTAGTCTTCTGAATGTGTACAATGGACAACAACACCGCTCAGAAAGTCCTAAAAATTCTAACTTCTTTTCAGGCTTTGGATCTATACTATGTCTTCTTAGGAGGGATGGTGGTGATGTTGAAACTTGACACACTTTTTGAAACTATTTTTCCTCTTAAAAGTCTTTTTCATCACTTCTAGAAAAATATCTAAATTAATCATATTTAAATAATAAGTAGAATGATAAACTTGGTCACATTTGTAAAACTGTCTGGAAGTTATTCTTTTTAGCAATTAAAAGTTTAAATGGCATTATTATTGGCATAATTCAATTCACTGTTTGAATATAAATACTTTAATAAGAAAACCTTCTTTCCTTTATTATTATTGCTCTGGTTTGCAAGTGTTCTCATTGAAAATTTCTCTACCTACGAATCAAAAGAATACCAGGTTTCTTTTGTAGGAATAAGTAGATACAAGAAAATGGAGAGGCACATTCTTACAATGTAATGTTTTTCAATAATTTTTTCTTTACCATTATATTCTTATTTTTAAGGTCACAAATTAGTTACAAAGATTGATAGTCTGGTAAAAATCCTATTCAGCTTCCTTGAAAAAAAAAATTAGTCATTTAAAACAGTGATTCTTCAGGTTACTATTTCATAGATTTCCTGAATTTTTAGACTATACTACCTGAAATGCAAGGAAAAGTATGTTCTCCTTGTTGACAGGAAGATATTAAAGATAATTTAAAACACAATATAATACACACATACACTCAATATGGAGAACCTCAGCTCTGAACTGTTTAAAAAATCTTGAGAGTAATAAAAGATCTTTCATAGTATACTTTTCTAAGGATAAAAAATTAGGAATTCACTTTAAGTCAATAATCTATATACAAGAGCCTGTATTTTGTGCTTATATGTGCATCAAATATGTTTGCGTGTGAAATAAACCAAACAGAAATAAAATATAAGGTATTAACTATGTAAAAATGAAGTGGAGGAAAACATACCACATTTGTATTTGCTACCTTGTTCTTATTTACTGACTTAGTAAATGAGAGGCCTAGTAGTTACACAGTCATACAGACCTTGATTTAAACTGAAGGTCCACCACTTACTAATTTTGAGCCCTTAAGACAGTTATTTAACTTCTAAAGAAATATAGTGTCATAGTTACAAGCTCAGGCTTGAAATTTATAGTCTGCCTGGATTCGAATTCTAGCTCTAACACTTATTAAATAACCATGTGATTTGGATGAAAGCTACTTAAATCCTTTATGCTTTGGTTTTCTGACCTATAGAAAAGGATATCTACACTTCATTGGATTGTTTAAGTATAAGTTAATACACATAAAGCACTTTGAACAGTGCCTAACACATTATAAACACCTAATAAATGTCAGATGCTTTTAATATTAAAGCTGTTTCCACACTCAATAAATAGAAATAACTATTTCAAAAGGCTGTTATAGTAAATGAGAAATGCACAAAGAACACATCTCAAATACGTAAAATATATACAAAGTACTCAATAGGCAGGAGTCATTATTGTCACTAGAAAACAGAACTGACAGTAATGAGACTGATGAAGAGGAAGATGGCAATACCAACAGTCATTCCGGGGGCCAATCCATATAAGTGGCAGTCATCCTTGAGCTGATGTTTTTCACCTTCCCAAACAATTAATTACAAAGTTCTATAAATTCTATATCCTTGAAAGTTATCTCATTTTCTCCATCCTCAGTGCCACTTTCTTATAAATCTCATACACGCTCCACAGACAAATGCCACAACCTCCTATCAGCTGTCCTGACTCTAGTATTGCCCCATTTCAATCCATTCTTCACAGTTTGTTTTTCTTAAAAAATAGAAATTTGACCATGTTACTCCCTTCAATGTCCACATTGTCCACACATCCTCAGAATAATTTTCAAATTACTAATTGTGAATGCTAAGTCTTTCAGAATTTGGCCCCATCTACCTCCCTCACCTCATCTTTTTCCACTAACTCACTTCGCAATCAAAGCTAAGATCGACAACTCTGATTTATCTGTGATTTCTCAAACACATGCCTGATCAACTCTGTACCTTCCTGTAAGCCCAGAACGCTTCCTTCTCCCTTTCCTTACTCCTATCTGACCACTTAATGCTTCTCCCCTATAATTCAACTTCCATGCCACCTCCTCCATCCCTTGACATCCAATCCCATCCCCAGCCCCATTTTCTTCTCTCCCAGCCTGAATGAACTTATGATTAGTATTGTAAAAGTGTTGTTAACATTTAAAACCCATGTAGATTACTCTTCAGTTCTAAGAGCTGGAACTAAAGATCTAAGCAAAAAATGTCGCTTTTAACTCAAGATTTTATGGTTCAATGATTTCAGCATTTGATCAATAATTTAAAAGTGAAATTAAAAGTGAAAAAGTGAAAGCCTAACTTAAAAAAAGAGATGAAAATACTATTTAAATGTAAATGTTCAGCTTCTGGTAATTCAGTCATTTTCAAAAGTGAAACCAAGGTTTCCCACCCCCCCCCCAAGTTTTAAAATCATTGTCAGATACAAAATTACTTAAAAGACATTATATTTCAAAAATGGAACTGATAGTCTTCTGCCTTACATTATTTTTATTTTTTAATGTACTGCTTTTTAAACAAAGGAATTTTCATCTATTTGATTTCACTTTATAATTACCAAAGCCTTTCCATAAAACTTAGGAATAAATGACTCCCCCATGTGGAGATCAGCTTACACAGAATTTCTCTTACAAACAAGTCTAGCAAGTAATTTAAGCTTCAATATGCTTAAAATTTTGAAGCTGAACTCTGAACATGACAATTATAACTTTATACCTATAAAGATAAGTGGGTAAAAAGCTGACCCTAAAGTTAACAGAAAAGTTCATGACAGAACATATGTTAAAAAATAAAACCTCTAAATAACATGGTTTGAAAATTTTATTTGCAAATCAAATACTTTAACAATTTAAATGAGTGATCAATTTAAGATATGGGCATGTTTACTGAATAAGCATTAAATGTTTAAGTATAAACAATTCAGATATAAAATTATACTTGACTCTTACTGGTAATATTAGAAAATGGAGAGGCTCAATTTATTGTGAGAAATGTTTATACCAGAAAAATGAAAGCTGAGAATTAGCATATTAGTGATTGAGATCCAGCTTTTACCTCTATTACCAAAACCAATCATTAAAAAAGAAGTTAGCCTGTAATCACCAAGCAATTAGTTAATATAGTTAAATAAAAATGTATTAAACTTAGAAACAAAAGTTTCAACCTTATTAATATTACAATAGTATTCCAGCCTCAGACTAGACTCAAAATGAAGAGTATGTGAATATTATTTATTATTTTTCAATACCTTCCTTCTCTCTAGATTTCAATAAAACACAAATGCAAAGGAATTAATAAAATATAAATTTAAAAATTTAAACTAAAATCATATCATAGTGAGAGGGGAAGGTGTTAGAAGAAACAAGCATAAATATAGCTATTATGCAATTATTGATGGGTCTTTCCACTTTGTCAAACTGTATCAGGGAAGAATGACAAATCTACTCATCAGATACAGTATTCACAGATAGGAATCATGTTTGAAGTTCTCTCATGAAAAGTAATCACTGGCTTATAATAAAGATTATATGACTTCAGTACCCCTAACTGAGAGTAGATCTCCAGTATAAAATAAAGTAACAAATGCACTAAAAGGTGGACAATCTAATAATTAGAAGATTTTTAAAAATATTTTCACTCATTAGCAATCTCATACAGATTTTAAAAATCAATTTAGGCACTTTACTATTTTAACCTTCTAGAGCTTCACATGACTCACCATATTAAAAGTCAAGTAAGCGCTTCCTCAACATGATTAATTTTGCAGTATGAAGAACATTAGACTTGATAGTAGGAAACCTGGGTTTTGGCCCCAGCTTTAGGATTTGGTGTCTTCATATGTAAAATGAGAGGGTAAACTAAAAAATTTCTAAGGATAAATGTGCAAAAACTCAGCTCTTGATTTTATTTTCTAAAATTAAATTTCGTGTTATTTTATATGTAGTGGCTAAGTTTCAAAAAAGTAAAATTTTGTAGCTTAATACAGGTTTCCAAATCCCTGTATGTATCTGAAACTAAAAGCTTATTTTTATACAAAACTATCCAATAACAACTAACTTTTGTATCATGCTTTTCAGTTTACAAAATACTAGTAACAATTCTGTATGGGAGGTATTATTAACTCAGTTTTACAAAATAGAAAACTGAGGCTCAAAGAGTTTAATTAAAACAAGGCCAAGTCTTTTGGCCTTTAAAAAAAACATTTATATTTTACTAAATCTCTAGTTTACAAAATAGTTCAATGAACATTGCTTTTTACAGTTAGTTGATTCTGAAGCTATCTCGGAATTATAATTCAACTATAGGAAAGGAAAAAGGTTTTAGTCTTGTTTAACCATAAATTGCTACTGGTAAGAGACAGAATTGGAATTCCAAAACCAAATATTCTGACTCCCAATTTCCTATATATCAAAACATAAAACTGTGTTATATATTAACATGATTTCAACAGTGTAATTTAAAACATACTCTAAGATCTAAAAATAATATGTATAAACAGGAGCTATAATAATATATAAAAATAAGTTATAAGGTTAAAAAAAAACCAAGTTCTGTAACAGATTTACTATATCTCAAAAACATGTACAGTTTAAACACTAGAACTTCTTTTCTCTACTGTAAGTCTTTAATATGGTACTTTTAAAAAATGAAGTAGTGATTAGTACAAACGTGACCCTGATGTAAGCTTATATTTCTAATCGAATTTTTCAATATGTAGATGCCCAATTTATATAATCAACAGAATTGTGCCCTAGGCCACTTCAGGAACCGCCTCAGTATATCTAACACAATACTGAATTGGTCCTTTCTAATTTCAAAGTCTGATATTTGATGGTTTAACTAACTTAAATATTTCACCTTTCATAATATGTTATTAAACAGCAAAAGTTTTTTAGCTAGTGTCAGAAGACTTTAGAGTAATTGGCAAACTGTCAGGGCCAAGTTACAAACAATGTGGCTAAGGTAAAAATTCAGATACTTACTTTGTTATTTTGTGTCACAAGAATACTTCCACCCCCAGGTTTCAAAGGCACCTCTTCCATTGCTCCAAACACATCAGTCTCAACAGAAAAAGTTAGTTCTAGACCCAGATCACTAATATCATTATCTAAAATCCACTGCAAATTTTTGGCATATTCTGGATCAATAGATGCCACATCTTGGTAATTTACAGGAATACCTAAAAATGCAAACATTCAGCAGTTATATTCTAAATGTTTCTGCCTTTCCTTATCTGTTTAATGGTAAAATACTGCCCTCTACAGATATTCTGTAAAACTGCAAAAAATACTCCAATTCACAGCATGATTAAAATAGATGCTAATTCCTGAATTTGAAGGTCTGTTAATTGAAGCTTATGTTTCTTCCACATTAATACAATATAACCTTTCTTTGAAATAGCTATTTAGAAAATTATTAATTTTAAAAAGTGTCAATTCTCTTAATATATTCATATTAAAATGCATTTAGTATAAATACACACAAAATAAAATTTAGCAGAAAATAGGTTGCTTTTCTTTCCCTCAGTCCCCCCAAATGCCTTGATCAAAATAAAAATTATCTCATCTAAAATTCTTCCACTTATCTTTTCCCTAAAGACTATAGGAAAAACAGTTTAAGTAACTGCCTATGGAAATAGCAATAGAACCATACCAAGAATGTGCTTGTAGAATGATCTTGTGAAATAAATGTTGACCAGCTGCCTATGGTTCAAAGCTAATCCCAAGATCTGTCCAGCAAACCGGAAATAGTTCAAGTGATCAGGATTTACATAGGAGTTGCTATTAGGCTGAAAAGTTGTCCCTATTAAAATAAATACAAAATAATTTATTTTTAATAATCTATATACAGAAGACCATTTCAATGCAGATAAATCAGTTCACATAAAAACTTCAGCTAAGGTTACATTATGTGTAAATTTTCATGGGAATGTTCTTTATGGAATATATAATTGGCAGTTAATTTACACATACATATCACAGTTAAGTCTTTGTGCAAAGAGAAGATTTTTAGAATACTTTTAACTGAAAGTAGTTCAAAGATGTGTCACAAGGGATCCTGGAAATAACATATTAAAAGACCACACACACATATACACACAGTTTTCCTAAGCAGTGTGGGCAAATAACTACTAGGCTTCGAATTAGGACAGACATTATCTCATTCACCTATAAAGGCCCAGCGCAGTAGGTATTCGCTACTTCTTGCTCCTTAAGGAACAGAATTTAAAACTGTTCTTAAGTGACAGACCGAATCAACGAACTTGATGCCTTTTAATAATTATTGGAAAATCCCCGAAGTCCACGAGTCAACAATGCCATCTTCATGACAAAAAATCAAAGTTAAATAAGTATCACTGAAGTATAGAAGTAAAAATGGCAAGGGCAATAGTTACTGATTATTATCAAAATGTAGAGCAATGGAGTATGATTCTACTTAAATGAAAAAGGTCTGAAAACTTGTGATAGTTACAAAACACTGTGAATGTACTTAGTGCCACTAGATACTTTAAAATGATTAAAATGGTAAATTTTATATTATGTATATTTTACCACAATAAAAAAACCTCAAAATAAAAAATCTAGTACAATGGAAAAACCAAATACCGAGGTCTCAACTTTAAAACATCCTCCTCCCCTGTGATCATTAACTCAGATTATAAATTCTCTCATCATTCAACAAATATTTATTGAACTCATGCTATTTCTTACTCTTCTAGGCATCTGAGCTAAAAGAAAGAATAACTGATAAACCTAATGAAAAAGCATCAAAGAAAAATAAAGGAAAATGGAAAAGTATTAAAAAGTGAAACGTCTGGTCATTTAATATACATATTTTGACAGTAATTCACTTTGTGCTTCGTTATTCTTTGATTTATCAGAGTTGGCACTAGACTAAATTGCCCTGGCCAATTTACTTAGATATAAGGTACAAATTTGGAAGCTTATGGCTAAATGACTTAAAAGAGACACATGAAGCTAGTCGTTCACTGTTAAGTACATTTTGAGACTCATTCCCAGGCACAATATAAGAGTTAAAACAAAATTCTCTGAGAAGAAAGACTTCAAAGATACACATAACCATAATTTCAAAAAATATAATGTTCTGAGAATAATCACAAATATTTTTACCTATTAAAATAATGAATGTTTAGGATTATTGACGAAATAGCAAAAATGACTCAACTTTCCTCTTCTAAGTCTGTGTATAATTCCTTTTCTAAGTACTTTCTGGGCAGTTTGGGTTATTTAAAAGAACAGATAAAGACATGGACATGGACAATGAACTAGTGGTCACCAGAAGGTAGAGGGGATGGGGGAGAGGCGAGGTAGACGGGAGGGGGGGGTGATAAATTTAAATTATTTCTTCAATTTAAATACATAAATAATTTTTTTAAAAAATCAATTAATTAAAAAAATAAAAGACTAGATAAGGAGAAACCAAAACAAAAAGGAAACAAATGGGAGAAGATCTTCGGGAAACAATTTTTTAACTTGAAAACTAGTTAAAACTGAATATAAAGTTTATATTGTTTTAAGTTCAAAATAAATATATCTGAGACACTCCCAGCTATTTTCATTGCTCCAGAAAAATCCTATTGCACAAGAAAGTATCATTTTCACAAAATAATACCATTTAATAGTTATTTCTGCTTTCTATATGCCAGGTACTGGGCTAAGCGTTTTTTACATAACAGCTAATTGATTTCTCACTACATTTCAAAAAACAGGTTATCACCATTTTAAACGAAGTAACTGAGGTCTAAAAAGGTTGCATTTACTGGCCCAAGATCATAGTAAAATGAGGGACAGACTCAAGATTCACATCCAGTGCAGTACCAAAGGCCAAACTCTTAGCCACTATAATATATTACCTCTCTATAGTAAGCATCTTAATTTAATTAGAAGCAAGTTTTAAAGAAATTATTATAAACATTAGGTCAATTTGAACATTTCCCGCATTTAGGAATTTTTAATTCTTACATGTAATTCTCTATCTATTAACGAAACATAAGAAAAATTTCATCTAGATTTTAATTTATTACTACTATGACCCCAAAGAGAATATTCAATATGGCTTACAAAAAGAATAAACCACAATTTTTATAGTTATGTGCTTTTATATATGCTCTGCTAGAAATTTTCAGTATGACTAAATGATTCCACATCAAATCTGTTTTTCATGTATGAAACTAAACAGACTCAGAATAAGGGGCTATAAAAAAGAAATCTAAAATACAATGTTTTAATGATAAATCTTATGTCAAAGATTAGGCCTAAATAACTAAGTGCCTCATCAATCTTGTCAAATTCAACAAATTCACCTCAGAGCAAACAATCAAAGGTTAGAGAGTTAAAGCAAACAGTCCCATATCCCTAAATAACTTCAAATACACCAGGTGTATCTGAGGCGCCTTTCACATAGGTGAATACCTGCAGCTGCCTAGCATCACTGCAGCCTACCCCACCTGCCTCTCAGAGGCATCCTTATTCAATGGAAATCTGCTGCTCGGTTTATTTGGATGCAATCAGGAACTACAATTAATGAGGCCTTCTATCCTTATAAAAGAATTTAAACACCGGGAAAGAAAAAATTTTCAGGTAATAAAAGCAAACGTGCAAAAGCATTTAAAAGCTGAAATCCCACCTTCACTTGGCTATGTCTTTATTAAATTACAAAACTCTCAAGTACACCTCACACAAATAAGGCAATAGTAACCATTTCCATTTAGCCTACAATATCAAATTACAAATATTTAGGTCGCAAGCGCCATTTCAACAAGATGAGTTTTAATCTAGTATATAGTTAAATAAGAGCTTTCTAGTTGTCAGGTCTTGATCGCTTAAAAAGACTGAAAACTAAGTTACTATACATAAATAGATTATATGTTAAGATTTAACACCATGATTTCCAGACTTTGCTTTTTAATGATCAGTAAATTTAAAGACTTGGAAACTCAAACAGGGTTAGCAAATTTTAATTTTTTCAAATAAAAACTTGTATTGTTTTTAAGTTCATCTATTATCACAATTTCACAAGAGGAAATTTTAACTCAAAAAAATAGACTACAGGACAATCCTTAAAGTGAATAAATTTAGTTTTAGTTTACAAAGGACTGACGAAAACTTCCTTAGGGTAAGCACTAATATTTGAGACAAGCATTTGAGAACTATTTAGAGGAAAGAATGCTAGACTGAGCCAGGTTCCAATCATGACTCTACCAATCATTAACTATGGTAACAGACAAAAACTCTGAATTTTAATGTTCACATAGACAAAAGCTCTGAATTTCAATTTTCTCTCCTATGAAATGAGAATACTCCACCTATCTCACAGGGCTACTATGGGAATCAAAGAATAAAATGTACTACAGTAGTATGAATAAATGACAAGTCACAGAAAAAGTCATCTAGACTGTATAACTTACCATCAGCTGACTGGGTAAACAGTGCATAATCTGGATTGACTATCTCATTAGACAGAATATCAAACCACTCACGCACAACACCTTGACCCTGAGTTCAAGAAAATAAAATTAAGTATCAACAGAAATATATAACATGGGGAAACATTTTTCTAAATAATAAAATTAAAATAATTTTAAATCTCTTCCATTAGCAAGTAAATAATAAATTTTATTCAAGTTCATGTTAGCTTTTTATATACAATGATCTTCATAGCACTTATTTTTATACCCACCATGCCTTCTTCTCCATGGAACCGTACAGCAATTCCTTGCTTTAGCTTTGCACAATTTGCTTTTGACACAACTTCACAGCTACTCCTAAAAATAGAATCTAAATATGTAGCATTGGTTAATTTTACATATTAAAATTTACAATAACTAGTATTTTTTTGTGCCTCAGATACACATCCATTTCTTTGTTAAACATACCTCTGTGAACGAGCAGGATATCATTTTCATTCACCGGCCTGTGTACCATGTCTGAATCTGGTTGTCCTGAATGCAAATGTTCATAGAACCATTCACAGCGATCTTTAAACGGCTACCGTAACAAATAACAGTAAAATATGTTAGCAGTATTCCATTCACCTATTAAATTTACTTAACTAGAATGCTACATGCCCTTTCTACAAATAATCAGTCTTATATCTTTATTTATAATAAGTAGTTCTAGGTAATGTCCTGACATTTCAACAACTATTCACACAAAAAAGCAGAGTCTAGCTGAAATCCTTTATCTAGAGGGTGTATTTTTAAAAATTCCCTAAATTTTCAACAGAAAAGACTTGATAAATTAGAAGACTATATCTAAGAACTGACTATAAGATATGTAATTGAATATATTTACTCTTAATTTCTTTTAAACCCAACAAGGCTTACAAAAATAAATTTCCACATTCAGAAAAGTTATGTTGCATCTTCCATTTTTCATAAAAATACTCTTTTAACCTAACTTTGTTCTTATTTCTATCCTTTGAATATATGCAGCAACTAGAAAAGAATTTGTTACCTTTTTTCTTTCCGTCCTTCTTCCCTTCCTCCACCCTAAAAATTAAGATCTCTTGAACAGTAGAGAAAGTCTCTGCCTTTTGTTCATTTGCCAGGTATGCAACTGCAAGCGATTTGCAATTTTTTACAACTAATCAGAAAGTATTGCTGAGTATCCAGTATGTGCCAACACTGAAGGTAACATACAAGCTGTAAAAATCTCAATTTCATTGCTAAAAACTGTTTAATACAGTCAGAGATGAGACTAACATTAACACAAAACAATACATATACATTATTAAGATCTAAATAGTGAAGTACAGACTATAATGCATTAATAATTTAGATACTGTGCAGATGAATGAAGTACAAAGGCTTCATGAGGTTATGGTTTGAACCAGAACTTAAAGCTCAGTAGGACTTGCTCAAGCAGGGAAAAGAGAGCATACAAGGGTAAGGGAGACAAGGAAAACAGCAAAGAAATTGTCTCCCTGAAAGATGTAATGAAGGCACACTGACATAAACAGAGTCCTATGCTTACACATACTGAAGGAAATAAGTTTGTGTAAGTAAATCGAGGACATAATTATGGATCCTGAGAATCAAATAAAAGAAAGGCCATTGTGGATATCTGGTAAGAGGAATAACAAGGCATATGCAGTAATTAAAATGAGAGCAGCACCAGTATAAAAAGAGACCATCTAGGCAACAGTTGAAATAATAGCCATTGAGTGATATGGTCTTGGTCATGGTAGAAAAGAGGAATAGTAAGTTAATCTGAAAGACATTACTCCTTTGAATAAAGATGAAATGTAAGAGACGATTTCTAGGGATAGACCGTAAGAAAAGAATTAGTGAGGGTTTTCCCCTCACAATCTACCCCACACTCCTAGAAGGTACTGGTAGAAAGATACTGAGATTTTATATATTCTAAATTTAAGGTTATTTAGGATATAACTACTAAGGGCTTGGAAATAAATACTGGAATGTGCTGCAGATGAGACACTGGAAACAGAGCCAAAGTTGAAGCTAAAGACAAGGTTAAGGTCTCTTGTTGAAGAGATTAAAGATACAGACGACAAACACCAAGAATGGAGAAGTTTATAATCATAAGTCAGGACTGAGAATTTGCTTAGCAAAGAAAACACACAGCCAGAAAAGTCAAAGAAGAACCAGGGTAGTGCAAGATTACAAAAGCCAAGAATTTCAAGAGATAAATATGAACAATATCCAATACCACAAAGAGGTTATCTTTCAGGCAGTTTTTAGGACACCAGTAAATTTCTTCATCTGTGCTAAACTAAACATTAGTCTTGCTTCAACAGACTTATATATTTTTATTAATTCTTAATAAAAATTTTATTATAAAAATTTTATTATTATAACTAGTGAGAGATTAACTTCTGCCTTTTAATATGTGCTCTTTCAGTAAATGCTTTTTAAAAAGCTAAATGTATAATTATGTCCATATTTTTAATAGTCTTCCACATTTTTAATAAAGTACTGTTGTTATTATATTCTTTACTGGGTATATAAATTGAATATTTCATTTTACATAAACAGATTAGAATGTAAAGTGCTTAAAACTTTAATGTTGATTATTTCTAAAACTTTGGTAAATGAGCACAAAAAAATATTACATAGAAATAATTATTTTAGTATGGGTTTTGACATTTCATAAACATTGTTTAAAATCCTGGCTATCATTTCTAGGTTTGTGATCTTAGGGAAATTACCAATCCTCTCAGAACTTTAGTTTTCCCATCTGCAAAATAGGGAAAGTAATACCTACTTCAAGGGCTAATTGTGAAGATTAAATGAAATAATGCCGATATAGAACATAATAATCATAATTATAATCATAAATTAGCCAATGCTTATCAAAGCACCTTTCAGCCAGATACTGTTTTAAGCACTTTAGATGCATTTTGACATGTAATCCTCACAATACTATGAGGAAAAGAGACTCTAATTATCCTCCTTTTGCAGAAGAGAAAATGCAGCACCAACAGCTTACTTTGTGGAAATACTCAAAACTCAGAACACTCGATAAAGAGGCACTGTTCTTATTACCATTTTATAACAATGTTAAAATTATTGTGAATAAGTATTTAAAAAGACCGTAATTTGCCATTATAAGATATTAAACATTAAATTATATCCTTTATCTATAAAATGTGAACCAAGAAATAAAAGCAAATGGCAATTTTAAAAAAGTAATTTAAATGGAACATTAAAAGGTACAAAATGCTATCTTCAAAAGCTAGTAAGATATTTGTAAGATCAGAATACCCACACACATGTATGCACACCTACAAAGCCACAGGGAACATTTTTGTATGTAAACTTTCTGAGTTCCTGCATTTCCACAAAATAATTCACAAAACAGGACTGATTACAGAAGCTCCTCTTAATAGTATTTGCACAGCAATACAAAATGTTTCTCCCTTTAACTACAGGCCACCTGAAAACCACCAACAAAACAAGAAGTCAATCCTTAAGCAGAGATAGTTTTTGTTTTTACCATTTTTTTTTGGAACAGCCTCCAAGTTACAGAAAATTTCTAAGTACAGTAGAATACAAAGTATTTTTTTCTTGATTTGAGTAAGCTGACATGATGTCCAGTCACTCCCAAGTACTTCACTGTGTATGTACTTCCTACAAACAAGAGAATTCTCCTACATAACCAGATAATGACCATCAAAATCAGAAAATTGATACGCTATTATATCTAATCCTCCGACCCGATTTTAAGTTTTGCCAGTTTCCTAGTAATGTCCTTCACAGCATATTGACTCATGAATACCGTTTAGGTGTCTTGTCTCTTCCATTCTGGTAGAGTTCTTCAGTGTTTTAATTTTCATGACCTCAAAACTTTTCACAATTGCAGGTAACTTATTTTGTAGAATGTCCCAATCGGAATTAGGCTGATGTTTTCGCATGATTAAATTCAGGGTGTACATCTTTGGCAGTAATACCAAAGAAGTGAGGCCATGTTCTTCTCAGTGCACCCTATCAGGCGGCACACTGATGTCTGCTCTGATCACCACCAAACTTGTCCACCATAAAATTCCTTTTTAATCTTTGTGATTAATAAGTATTCCATAGGGAGATACTTTGAGACAGTAAAATATCCCACATATCATCAAATTTTCCATCATTCATTTTTTTCGGTACTCATGGGTTCTGATTTTATTTATAATATCTTGCCATCATTGTTTATTTTAATGTTAAAATTGTTTTAGATTTGGCCAGGGAGGCCATTGGAGGTAGTTATGAGTCATTTTTAACACAACCTCATCATTCTTTAAACAATTTTCTTGCACAGTAAGATATTCCAGGCTCATCTGTACTTTCATTGACCCAGCCTTGTAATTAGCCATTTCTCCCATGAGTCACGTTTCATTGATAATGATATTTAGAGATGTGAACTGGATGCCAGGTTTACTATATCTATCCATATTTAAGTTATCACTGATATCTCCCAATTCCAGTCCAACAGTACGTAGTTCATTTTATTTTCCTCCATTTTGTAACTCCTTTCTTCAACATTGAGAAACTAAACTCCCATAACCTTTACTATACTTACTTATTTGATCAACCCATATATAACTAATATCCTGTCACTAAGAAGCACCCTTCACTGCATGGATGCTCTCTACCCCACTTGGGCTCTGTCAAACTACTCTGAGCAACTGTCACCGCCCTCTGCATTGGACATCCTCCATATGCCATTCCAACTCACATGCTCCATGCTGAGACCCTATTCTACACAGACACCCTCCTTACTAGGCTCAAGTTCTAAAATTCCACACTGGAACACCACAATGCACACAATGCATGTGGACAGCTTTCTCATCCCGGTCAGTGTAGGGAGCTAAAGCTCCCCAAATTCAAAAGAGTGCATGGTTTATCTCAGGAGGCCTGCTTGCATAAAAAGGAAAAGGCTGGTTCTGTGGAATTCCAGGAAGAAGAAGATTAAGTATAGATAAAGGGAGTGTCAAAGGGAGTGTCAAAGGAAGTGTCGATTGTACCTTGATCTTCAGGATGTTACTTTAATTATGTTATCTTGGGATACCAAAAGGAACAGATGATGTATAAAAAGAAGGATAAGAAATAAACTCGGAGAGACAGTTGTGAGATCTGTTCTCCCTCCTGCACCCTGTCTGTCTTCTCTTTTTTCTCAGTCCCCGCTCCTCCATTCAGGTACCCGGTTTGACTTGGTCGGCTGGCTTCCGACAGGTCAGACAACAAAAACCCCTCTGTGGGTCAAAAAAGTGGATAGCTAATGCATATGCTTTTTGACTGAATTGTTCAGGAAGGGAAGGGGGAAAAGGAAGTGAAAAGTAGAGATAGTATTAAAAAATAGCAACTACTTCTTTCAAAAACTAAGTTTCTTTCACAAATAATCAATTTCATTTGCCCTAGAATGGAGTCACATAATATGTTAAGAAAAGAACTTAAGAACCAGAAAGACTTAAAATTTTGATTCTCCCACTTAGTAGCTGAATGACTTAACTTACTTGACTTCCTCAGCTTCAGTGAAAGAGTACCCATCTCACATGACTGTTATAAAAATAAAATAATCCATGTAATGCAAATGTATGGTACCTGACTTAAAGTTAGCATTCAATAAATGTATATTATTACTACCTTCTCTTTTACATTATCATTAAATAGATGTCAAAGAATTTATATAAATGTGTATAATTTTATAAGCTTTTATAATTCTTAGCTTTCTTTAACTTCTGAAAGGGTCAGTGTTCCTAAAGACATTTAAAAACACCTATAGTATTTCTTATGATTACTAATCAAACCATAGCTTCTGGTCTATCTTACATTTCTAACAAATTATTTCCTAAAATTTTGCCATGATCATGCCATTCTCTTGAAGCAAAGTTATCAGTGGCTCCTGACAGCCTAGCAAACAAAGAAGATTCTTTAATCTGGCAATCAAGGCTCAACACAGTATGACCCCAATCTACCTTTCCAGAATTATATCTCATTCCTCACCTACACAAAATTTCTGCTTCGATCTCTACAGTTTTATACAATTTTTCACCAGATATGCCCTGGTCCAAATCTTGGCTAGAATATTCATCTTCCCCCATTTACTCCCATCAAAATTTTGCATGTTTTTCAAGGTCCAGTTTAAAATCCACCTCCTCTTTTAAATTTCCCTTGATTATAGCAGCCGGAAGCAAGCTCTTCATCTCTTAAACTACTAAAGAACCATGTAATACTGTAATTACTATTTTATAGAAACATTTATTATCTCCCTTGCTAGACTGAATTAAGAACCTCTTAGAGAAAGGATATATGTCTCTATCTCCAAAACAACTATTATTAAACATATATACTAGTCACTATTTAAAACTTATTCTTCACAATAATTTTATGAGGTTGGTGTCATTATCTCTATCTTACAGATAAAGAAACCAAAGCTCAAGGATGTTAAAAATGTGCCCAAAGTCACACAATTGTTAAGTAGCCAAACAAACTTTTTCTAACATGTTTACGAAACATGAGATTTGTGGAATGAACCCTGGCAGGGAAAGGTTCTCAGGTCAAAAAGTTTGGAAGATTAATGAAGTTAAATCACTATTTTTACCAAAAGGTTTCTCAAAGCCTTTAATAACCTGCTGATAAACTTTATGAATATCCAACATAGCATATGTTATATTTCCCAAATGCATCTGGAAATAAAATCCTTTTCTTAAGGACTATGAGCCTTATAGCACTAGCGTTTCTAACATGAAACTCATTTCAGGAAATGTGGGAACGTATTCTATTGTCTTTGAATAAGCCATGGCACATAGTAGGACCTCAACACACATTTCTTGAAGAAGAAAAATTACTCCTCATATTAAAGTAACATACTTTAGTATATAGTGTAACTCTACCTACTAAATTAAATAAGGTAATTTCATTCCTCTTATAGCAGAAGGTCTCAAGTATAATAATTACTTCATTAAACAGTACTCAAATTTAAAAATTAATTTTCATTAGACAAAGTAAAAAGATTAAGAGAAATTTCTACCTGTGCTTTTATGATATGCATGAATCTTGACATCAACTCAGGACATTCAAGGAGGAAGTGAAAGTGGTCAAATATAATTTTGGGATTTCTAAAAGAAAAATATATTTTGTTTAAATGGAAAGGAAGGATGAGTAGCATTAAGTGATTCACACGGGTAGATTTACATATATAAATACTGAAACAGAAGAGTTAACACATATTCATCCATACCTACTATACTTGCACTTGTCATTGAGCATTTTTTAAATAGTTTAACAGAGGTAACATTTTTTCTGTTGAGATAAGAACAAGTAAGGAAGGAAAAGACTGAAGGGCATTCCATGAATCCAAGAAAGCCTTACCTGTTAACAAAGCATTTTAAGACTTCATCGTGTTTGCAGACAAATTCAATGAAACGAGGTGAAGTCATTCTGGGGGTGGGGGTAAAAAAATAATCAAAACATATACACGAAAGTTGATGATACAACATATTTGATAACTATGTATTGAACTGGACTGGCTTCTAGACAAAAAAATTGGGGATTTGGATTGTCTTTTTAAGTTTAAGAAATTGAGGCACGCCTAGTCAATCTATAAAATGAAAAAATTTATAGAACTTTTCATTAACAGATGATATGAACAAGTGACTTCTCAAAAACCTTGAAATGTTAAGCATCTCTATATATTTCAAATACATAATGTATTTGTATCCTATACAAAGTAGAAGTCACCATTCTACATGTTAATAACTTATACAATGCTTAAAACTCAAATATTTTGGACTAATTCTAGATCAGTACATTAAGTATCCTAAAACAAGATCAAATAGAACCTAAAATCAACAAATTACTATTTGTTGTCCTGAAATTACAAAAAAGTCACAGCGTTTCTTTGTCTACCACAGAAGGAAATAATAAGCATGTAGTGTAAGCTTTGACAGGCAGTTAGGTTTTCTCTTTTTTGTAACACAAGCGCCTGACTTAAGTTTTGGTTGCCAAGGTTCTACTTCAAAGAGGCATATACTTCAAAGATGGCTATCTTTAATAAACACATTGCCAGCCACACAACTAGATAAAGAGCCAGACCACCTCCCGCCACAGAGGCCTTTTTGTTTTAAAGATCTTGGTTGATTTTGATAACTGACCAGTTGGCCCACTTGTTTTTTCTCTTCTCACACTTTAAATTCTCACTTATGTTTTAAATTCACCAATAAAGAGTGAGCCCCAGAAATACTAGGTCCCCCACCCTGACTCCCCAAAAATGAGAACTTCTCCAGGCCCATATGCACACCCACTTGTGAGCTAGCTCTTGCGGGCACACGCTCTCACTCTTGCTCTCTCCCTGAGACCTTGCTGTGTGGTCCCAGGTGTGCCATGTAATTTCCAGACCTTGTAAGTAATAAACCTTTTTTTCTTTTTTTTCAAAGTTTCCTGATGGTTATTGCTGAAAGGCGCCTTGGAATCATAATAAGAACCACAAGGGCTGGTCCAGCCACAAGATTGGTTATTGATAGGCTGAGACCTGCACACAAAACAAAGCAGAAACCCTCTTACCCTGGAGGCATCTGACAAGAACAGCACATGTAAAAAGCTTGAATGACAGCACTTAGCCGGTTAGCTGTCATAGAAATAACATCCTGACAGTCTGCACTGGCTTCCTGTTTCCCTCCTAGAGCATCTGGTTTAGATTCCCTGGTGCCAGTGGATAGATTTTCATAGCTCCCAGGTCCTGGAGGTTCAAATGGAGGAATGGAAGTACCATCTTGATCTTGGCCTTTTTGTTTTAGTAAAATAGAAGTGATATCCGTTGAGTCCTTTTTGTTTTTCATCAGTTCTGTAGCTATTAAAACTAGCCATTCATCTAATGAGTGCCAAAGCAATTCGAGAGGCTAAGAGAAAAAGAAAAGCGTTTTTTAAACATCATTCTGAAACTACAGGGCAAAAACCAGACAAATATTATAAAAGAGAAAATTTACTGTAGATACTTCTATTTTCCCAAGTTAATGTAACATCAATGCCTATAGGTAAATAATAAAAACATATGTCATATAAATAACAATTTCTTCATTTGTAGCAAAAATTTAATTTGCATTTATTTACTCCTTGGGATAGAAAGGGAAAACTAAAACTACAAAACATGTACAAGCAATCTTTCTTCTTTTAAAAATTTTAATAAAATATTTAGTTTTAAAAGCATTATTACATATATATAATCCCCCAACCTTTACTGTATTAATGTGTCAACAATTTTAATTATGTCTTTTTTCAGTTAAAAAAGATAATTCCTAAAGACCTTAATAGTTTACTATGCTCTTTACATCTAATTCCTAGAATTTTGAAAATTTATAACAAGAAATTTTTAAATGACATATTTATATATACATATACACATCTGCATATTTATATGCTTACACATACACACACACACAATTCATCTCTAAAAAACAGTAACCATCAAATACTGACTAGCAAATTCTTAATTCCAAGTAAAGATTAACAGCTTAAAAAAGAAATGGTGGAAAGTAAATTGTTTCTTTGGAGAACAAAAAAATGTCTTTTGTAAATTAACAGCAAATAAAATTTTATTTTTTAAATATTATGTTATCACAAATGCTACAATAGGACTAAATATTAGAGAAGACAGAATACATACATCCTCTGTAATAATTAGTAGTTTTTAACACAAGTGGAAATATAAATGCCCAACTACTGTTAAAAGACCTGCTACCAGGAATCCAATGTACAGCAACATGACTAGTTATCAATACTGTATCACATAATTGAAAGTTGCTATGAGTAAAGCTTTAATGTTCTCACTATAACAACAAAATGGTAATTATGGGAGATGAAGGATGGATGCACTACCTAACCTGTGATAAACATTTAGCAATATCTATGTGTTTCAAATCATCACATTGTATACCTTAAACTTATATATTATATGATATGTAAATTAAAGCTCAGTAAAGCTGAGGGAAAAGAACCCGCTAAACATTTTTTATTCCAAATAATGGTTAACAATGTGTGTGTTTGGGGAGTGGGGGGAAGAGCAGGGAGGTAATGATTAAATGGTCCTTCATTCCTACAGTACTTTAAATATTCCTATAGAGAATGATAAATTTTCTACAAATGAATGTAAAAGTTAATCTTACTTTTTGATTCTTATGTGATCACAGAATGGTATAAACTAGGCCATGAATTTGAGAAAGACTGCCCTTCCAATACTTCAACTAAAAGAAATAATCTTACTTTTAAAGACCACTACACAAAGGTTACCATATTTGGAAGCTTAGAAAATGGTTAAATAACCTGTTCAGCCAGAAAATTCTTTCCAATTATTATCTAAAAAATCCTTCTGCTACATCTTCAGCCTTTCTTCAAGCTTCTAGAACATTCTCTTTCCGAGAATATTTGATTTACTGAATTCGCAAACAATTAAATCATCCCTAAGTCTTCACTGAATCATTAAACCAGAAAATGGAAAACAAAATTTGCAAACACATTCACCATCAACACAAACCTAATTCACTCATTCAATAAGTATTTAGTTAGTACTACTACTAGGTAAACAGGTAAGCAAAGGGAGAAACTAATTATACACTTTCTGAGGTTGAAATTAGCATCCCGCTGCCCCACAAGAGGGCTTTTCCATGATTAGGCACAGACAGCAGTTGGAAGATTCAGGGTCCCTGAGCTGCTTAAAGGGCAAAAGAACCAGTTGCCATAAACACTGACATGATACCATCACTGAAAATGTCTTAATTCTAATCATGATCCAAGTTTGGGTCTACAGTTTCTCTTCATGAGCAAAACATTCAACCTGCCGTAAATGATGAAAAAGAACTTATGTCAGCAAAAATATTTAGCTTTACATCAGAAAATGAACTTCCAAAACAGAAAGAACAGGTGGTGGTGATGTAAAACTGCTTGAAACAAAAGGAAAAAGGAGTAATTGGCCTCTGAATGAGAAGGGCTAAAACCAAGAAACTCAACACACTGGATGGAGAGGATCCTAAGGCAGGAAATGGTATGTGCTGCTCACGCACATGAGTGCACTGAACCTGAACCTACAACAATCCTACTTTCATAGACTTACTACGCGCAAATATTAAAGGCAAATTTTGATAAATTCAGATAATTTAAAAATAGGTCTGTGTAAAAATGACAGTAACAATGAAGATACTGAAAAGCTAGTTTTCAAAATTCTTTGTTGTGTAGCAAAAAATTAGAATGAGGGGAAAAAAGAGAAATGGTAAGTCATCTTAGGCCTTTCTTTTCTATTTCTTTCTTCATTCACATGCACTAAAACTAAATCCCATCCTTAAAGTATTTTGCCTAGAGAGTGGTCCCTATGAAGATATATTCAGAAAAGTAATTGTTCAACATCAGAAAGAATACTGTGACTACAACTTTAATTTTTAACTGTGATAGCAGCCACAGACAAGGATTAAATTTTAAAAATTAAAAGAAATTATTGCAAACCATATCTATGATGCTTTCTACATTCTTAAATAATGATAAAAACATTAGATAAGATACAGAGCACTGTACATATCAATTGTTACTGAAAAATGAGTCAATGACTATGGCAAATATTAGTGGTTTCTTGGCAGTGTGAAAATATTGCTTCATTTCATATTACTGAGTGATCTTCACCACAAAATTATATTCTACTTATAGAAACAATGACAACAATCATATATGATTTTCAAAACATTTTAAGTTATATTTCAATGCTATAATACATAATCTCAAACTTGTTGAACAATTAAAATTTTTTCAAGATCCATGTTCCACAGTAAGATACAAATTTGACAAGAAAGCATTACTAACTTAAGTTCATTAATAGCAATTTGAAATCCTGTTAGTCTGTTCTCAACTTGATAATGTCAAATGCTACAACCCAAAAGGTAAGATCTTAAAGTTACAAGTTTCTCAAGCTTTCCTGGCTTCCAAATTTTCCAAATTATACTTCTATGAAACTGTTAATAGTCAAAGCTTACTGTTTACAAAAAAAGCCTAAATTGTCTTCTCCATGTTCATCCTGCTCTGACTGCCAGAACTACATCCTCCTTCAGATGCTCCAAAGTTCCCATGGCGCTAGATAAAAATTTTTTAACACTGAAAAAATGGCTAGGTGGTAAGATTTAATTTAAAAGACTTCTAAGATAAATTATAAAACTAGTAATAGGATGTTAAATAATTTCACCTACTAAAAACACATGGCCTATAAACCCACTCATTTTAATGGAAAACCCATTAGTTAATCTTAATAGAGTGACATGTTCCAATTAATGAAATGGAAAGTGGGGATCAATTGCTACTTGGATAAAATGTAGTAAAAATTAAAATGGTATTTCCAGTCTAACATTATAGCAACTCAGCATATGTTTAAGATTTTTATAACTTGAATCATCCCACAATGAAGAGAATACTTTATAATACATAGATGACAATGTAAGTTCTATTTTATCCTTCTAAGACTTTTTATACATAGATGACAATGTAATTTCTATTTTCATCTTTACAAAATTTTTATTTTTATTCATATATATCATTGAAACATGGAGTCTGGATTCCATAAAAGAAAAGTTAAAAAAACAAAACTAAACAAAACAAAAAACAGTGCTATTCTCTTCTACTCAGTTATATCTATACTGGGTGGGTAGAAAACTAACATTTAAATCAAGCATTAAGGGTGGATAGAGAGGCTGGCTACTTAGCACATACTTATTTTCTGATATAATCAGCAAATAGATGGCAAACTCAAATTTTACCAAACAAAAAAGAAATCAGACAATAGTGAATATAAATAATAGACCATAACTATACCTGATTTAACCTTTCTATCTATCATTATAGATGAGTTGAAAGAATGAGAAGAATATCAAATCAGGGGTAGAGTCAGTAACTTAACAGCATGAGCCATGCCAGAACACATAAATATCACATAACACGAATATTGAGGAAAACTCACTTAAAACAGCACTTGACAAAACACCGGATCAACAGTTGAGAAGTTTACAAACAGTAAGTTAACACTCTCAATTAGAGGTCAAGGAAGTAGTGTGTGAAAAACCAAAATTTGAATTACAAGAAGATGCATAACTTCCTTCTTCCAGGAGGTGGCACAACAGGGGAAGGAAAAAAAAGGGGGGGGGAGGAGGGAGACAACAGCTGAAAACTCTTTTTTATACTGATTTTTTTTAAAAAAAGAGCAAAGCAGACAAACAGATGCACAGATACTTATACATACTTTCTTAAAAAACTATACCTGTTTACTAGTATTAAAGAATCTACTAGTGTCAAATGTTTACAAACCATTTATCTGTGTCTGCCAAAACTTTTCCAGGTAAAAACCATTTAGCATAGCTCATTAATTTATTTGGAACTTTTTATAGACAGTAAAGTTCTCAATCACAACTAGTTTTGGAGGAAGTGGCACATAAAAGCAGTTATATCACTTTTTGGATAGATAATCTTTTATACTCAAAAGACTTAAGAAATATATAACTTGTTATGAAATTGAAAGCAAATTTTATACTATGAAAATCTCTTAAGATAAAATACCTTTAAAAAAATAACATGAAAATCTTATTAAATTACACATCTGTCCAAAATCTGAGTTATTTGAAAATTCAATACCATAAAAGAGCATTAACAGTAGCAATTACAGCCAGTTCATTTTGTTTACTTCATAAAATTATAATTTAATATCATTAGCAACACTACCTTAGGTTTTATATGGAATCATTCTTCCAAGGATTCCATCCATAAATGTGCTTGTATGGAAGAAGCAACTGAAGCAATACAAAGTATTTTAAGAAAATATGTATCTCAATTGATTCTTCCTTGAAGTGATCCCAGGAATTAACTGTTGGTAAACCAAGTAACTAAAAGTAACCCTATTTTAAAAACATGTACATGGACACACAAATAACACATACATGATAACAAAATCTAAATAAAAACTGAATATTTTCTTTCCTTCTGAATAAGAAATATTTTTTTAAAAAGCATCATGGCTGCATATTGCCATATTAAAAACCTATAATCCGATTTAAAAAGTAGATTTAATTAAACATTAAATACCTTTACCCTTAGAATAAAACACTAATGTAATTAAAATTTTACTTGTAAGAAAAATATAAAAGCTCACCAAGTAAGACTTGCTGCTGATTAGACAGAGATGAAAGGAGATAGGTGTGCCTAACTTAAAAAGTGATATGGGTATGAACCAAACTTACGTTCTGTGTATGAGGTTTCTGATTAATGAATGCATGCTTTGTCAAATTCATCTCTTTTACGTCTATCTTCCTAACAACGTCATATACTTTTCTGACCTTGAACACCTGGCTTCTTGGAGTTTTATTCCCGTTGTAGCCCATATCGATTCCATTACTGGGAGAGGATGGACCAATTCGAAAGACATGACAAAATATCCTCACAATCCTTAAAAGACTCTTCATTTGAGCATCATAATTACTAGACAGGCTAAAAATAAAAATTAAAATATGAACAGATTAGATACAATAAAACAAATTACATCTTAAAATATTTTAAAACATTTTCATCAACTGACCATTTGTTTCATAATATAAAGAGTAAAATTCTTTTCCTATCATGACAGAAGATGGAATGTTTTGTTTAACAGGAAGTTGCCAAATATATATTATTTGGATTCCCTATGAATAAATTGTTAATTTTTAAGCCAACAGAATATAACCAATGATCAAAACATAAAATATGAAGAAAATCACCACTGTCGAACAGTTGATTTCTTGAGACACCAACTTCAAGGCAATCTCCAACTTTCACTTCCAAGAGTATATTCCTAAATTAAACTGATTCTTTAGAACTGAGAACAAACATTTCACAGAGAAGCAACATAGAAATGTTGGCGTTATGTTCTCAGGCCAACCCACAACTCAATTGTAGATCCTGAACGCTCTACTATTCTATCTCTAACTCCATTTCCCCTCCCTACCCCAGCATAATAATCAATAGTTCACATATAGAACATTTACAAATTGAATAATCTTAAAGTTACTATCTGTATCAGGGTGGTTCTCTATATAATGGGTTGTCTTATGACTCTATATAAATATAGGAAATATATCCCACTATGGAAGAAAAAGAAGATTCAAATCCAATTAACACTAAACCATATTGAATATAATAGAAACCTTTGACCAATCGCAAAGCCCTTCAGAATCCCATAGTGCTTGGGGATTGATTGTTCATCATTATGAATATCAACCATTACTCTTCCACGAAGAAACTGAAGAAGACAGGCTAAATTTGTATCGAATCTAATGTTAGATCTTTTTTAAAAAAATTGTTGTTGTTCAACAGGTGGTTTTATTTTGAAATCTCTAACATCAATTATCTTATATTACAATAGCTATTGCATGAACTTTTGGACAGAATGGTATAATTGTCTTTGTACAAATTTAATTATCAAAGCTTATCTAATCTTACCCCAAGTGTATTTTACCCAGTTCATTAAAATCTTCCTCTAAGACATTTTTAGCTATCTCTTAGCATTAAAAAAATAATAAGAATTAGTAATTAGTGAAAATAGCAAATGCCTACTTCTAAGTATTTCAGTTTGATAATATCAAATTAGAGGGTATTTTGTATCCTGGTGACATGTGAACCAAAATTTCCTGACATTTTCACTTCAATATTCACATTGTTTTCTCATTCTAAGAATTATTAAATTGTTAAAAATAGCCAATAAAATGAGTTATCAGTTATAAATATTAGTAAAACACAATAGCTATTGACTGGGACAACTACAGCACATTAGCAAATCTTTTTCTTTGTTTCAGAAACTATGAATCGAATGTGTACAGAATCATTAGTTTAGCTTGTACTGATTTTTACATGTTTGTCCTTACAAACTGTTTCTAATTCAGTATCATAAGATTCATGAGACTGACAATATGGAAAGGTAGTTTGGTTGAAACTATTTTCTTCTTTTACTGTGTTGCAGCTCTTAGAAAAGCTAACTACAATGATTCTCAAATTCTTCTCCATGAGAAAGGTGTGATTTGATTTTCCTCTACAAAATTACCATATATATAAATATTTGTTTTAAGTTCCTGATCAGACTTAACTTAAGGTAAGTAGTATTATCTTGCACAATGGAATTCAATATATTATCATCGTATTAACATAATCTAATGTTTTTATATTACTTTACCCAGTTTTAACTTCTTCCAAGCTGACTGGTCTAAAAAACATCATTTCTCATTTTCCAACCAGTGAAATATCTCTTTCATATTACGTAAAAGATTATGAAATCCAAACTTCATAATATTCTTCCCCAGTTGATAATAAAATAATTTCTTCCCAAGACGCCAGATCTCAATATAAAAGTTTACAAATGAGTTTCCTAATTCAAACTCCTATCAATGTACCTACTACTTTTGGTTTATATGGGAATTATACTTCCATTCAGTTTCTTACTTGGCAAATAGCTGTAATTTGTTCATTTGTACACTGATCACAAATAAAACACAACATCATGTGCAAAAGGGCCCTCAGTAAATGTTATCTTTAGCAAATATTCCTAGAATTGGTTAGACAAGACTTCATTTTTCCAAAAGTCTTCTAAACACCACCTCAACTGTCACTAATATACATTTGAATCAGTCATTTTCTTAATTAAAATTTCTATTAAAGTAGCCAAAATTAGATCACATTGTAGATTAAGAAACAAATGATTCACAAATGAAAAAAAAAAGACAATCTGCAAAATTAATTAGTGGGTGAAATGATTTGTATTTGAAATCCTTTTAGGAATCTTGGTAGCTGTGAGATAACAGAAAATACATCTACTAGGTTTCTGCCCCCAGTTCCTGGCACCAATCTTCTAAAACCTTTATAATTTCTTACGTGATAAGAGCACTAGGACCATTTTTCGTTCTAATATTTGGTCTTTGATGCCAGTTCTTCACACAGAATTCCTAAACAACTTGACACTGCCTGGGTGATAGCAGTGTCTTGTTCTATGAGGTGACTCTTGGTGGACTCCTGGATGGAGCTGGTCATCGGGAAGACCAAGCCATGATTAGAAGCTTGAAATTTTCTGCCCCAACCCCCAATCTCCAGAGAGGAGAGGGGCTGGAAATGAAGTTAATGATCAACATGCCTATGCGATGAAGCCTCCATTAAAAGCCAAAAACTATGGGGTTCAGGGAACTTCCAGGTTGGTAAACACAACCATGTACCACGAGGGTGATGCACCCCAACTCCGTGGGGACAGCTCCTGTACCAGGGACCCTCCCCCACAGACCTCACCCTGTGTATCTCTTTATCTGACTGTTCATCTGTATCCTTTATCATATCCTTTAATAAACCAGTAAGCATGAATGTTTCCCTGAGTTCTGCGAGCTGTTCCAGGAAATAATCGAATCCAAAGAGGAAGGAGGTCATTAGAACCTCCAATCTATAGTCAAGTCGGACAGAAGTTATGGGTAACCTGGGGATCTACGACTTGCTATTGACATCTGAAGGTAGGGGTGGGATCAGTCCTGTGGGATCGGACACTATCTCCAAAGGAAGACAGAAATAAAGGGCTACCCTAAAGAATTTGACAATGTAGTGATTTATAGAAACAGCACAGAGTTTGAAGGAATAAAGTCCAGTTGCAACTAACAGAGGTAAGAGAAGACCATGACCTATTCTTAAGACTGTCAATGTATTAAGAAGTGAAAAGAAAACTACAAAGGGGAGAGCATCCAAATTAAAAGTGGGCCAAATTTGTAAGCCACAAAATAACAAAGTAGCCATTTCTAAATGGCTGTTTACTCCTAATTGGGGTAGCTAACTACATGCAAAGAAGTGTAGCTGCAGGAAAATTTAATATACTTAAATGCAAACATTATAAAGGCATTAACTGCACAGATTTAGTGATTAGCCATTAAAACTAAAGAATCTTTTGGAAAGAATAAAGAACTGAAATGACAGAACATTTCAGGGATAAAACTCTATAAGGAATGATGAGAGGCTGAAAAGTAGCTTATACCATTTTATAATTAGTGGTCAAGATTCCTAAACTACTTTCTTGATTCTTCTTTATGCACATTATACTTACATGACTAGTCTAAACAGTCATTTTATAAAATTCTAGACATGTATGCTCAAACACATTTAAATAAATCTCTAGTTATAGTCTCTTTAGAGAGATTAAAGTCTCTTCAGTAAAAGTTGACTGCCCTGGTCCTTTAAAACAAAACAATGATGTGTCAGCAAATTTACAGAACATCTTACCACTAACAAAAAGGCATCCAACAAAATAAACTATTCCCAGAAAAGCCTAAAAGGAGATAAAGCTGACAGACACTGCTACCTACTGATGTGTTTATGTTTTGAAACACTTACCTAAGCAGTTTATGACCATTTGTTGTGGCTACTTCAGCAAGGCTTGTTAAAATCTTTAGGTACTGGCTTTCACTTTGCTGAGACAAATGTTCTAAGACTTGCCGTAACTAAATTTTTTATAAATAAAAAAAAGTGGTTATATAATAATCCATTATATTTTATCAAGAAATTAAAAAACTATTAGTTTAATAAATATCCTAAAGCTTATTAGCTGAAGTTAAACCCTTTACAGTTATTTTGCCTTGCATAACTAATAGAGATGACATAAAATCTTTGTTCAAAATCACCCAGTAAGGAATCAATAAAAAACAAATAGAATAAAAATCACCAAGTTTATTTACAAAAATTTAATTCTAAAATTTAAGAGAAATTTAAACTCTGCAATTTTTTAAAGAGTAAAGCTAATCTAAATACAGAGCTCAGTTAAGTACTGATTACCAATCTTAACATGACATTCCTCCATAGAGTCTTTTCCTCTACCTATGGGGAATATCCTAATTCTCTTAAGGAGACCAAAGACCCAGAGGACAGAAGATTCATAATGTCGAATTTAACAGAAAATTAATTAATTATTATATAATTCATACTTATCCTAAGCAAATTCATATATTATTGTAAACATTTAAGTATTTATAAGAAAATTATGAAGCACATTTGTAAACTACCATATATGCTAAGCATGAATAAAGTTCGTTCGTTTACAAGCTACTAGCACAATTACATTACCATGTTTTCTCGGAGATCTTCATTCTGTGTCATTTGAATAATAGTCTGGAAAAGCCTAGGGTGATACTGAATTAATACTTCACAGGTCTCTCCATATCCACCCTAAAATAGATAGATAGATAGATAGATAGATAGATAGATAGATAGATAGATAGATAGATAGATAGATAAATGATTTAAAATTACAGGTTTAAAAACAAAGTTCCTGAAGAAAAACTTGTACATCCCACAGGTTAGGAGCTTAGTCCCACAAGAGTGTCCGCACTTCAGAAGTCAAGCACAAATCCAGGCCACTCATACATTTGACTAATCAGCTATAAGTCAGGAGTTCCCACAACTCCCTCAAGTTTGATAATTTACTAGAAGAGTTCACAGAACTCAAACACTTTTCTATTACCTGTTCATTATAAAGGATGCACCTCAGGAACAGCCAAATGGAAGATTCATAGCGCAAGGTATGTAGGAAGGGGCATAGAGCTTCCAAGCCCTCTCTGCGCTTACCACCTTCCCAGCCCTTTGACACGTTCATCAACCCCAGAAACTCTCTGAGAAGCCAACTGTTTAGGGTTTTTAGGGAATTTCCATTACATAGGCATAACGGATTAAATTATTGGTCATTGGTGACTGAACTCAAGCTCCAGCCCCTCTCTGCTTCCTGGGAGTAGGGGAAGAGGTTGGTTGCTTTCTAATCACATGGTTGGCTCCTCTGGCAACCAGCTTCCATCCTGAAGATATCTAGGGACATTCAGCCACCAGTCTGTCATTAAGATACAAAATGACATATTATCTAGAAATGCCAAATGTCTTAGAAGCTGTTGTGTCAGAAACTGGGAGAGAGACCAACATGTATTTCTTATTACACAGTTCCTTTTAAGGATCATATTCTTTTCAGAATAAAAATCTTTGTACCCGTCCTCTCATTTGAGAAAAAAGTGGTTTTACCAGTCTCAATGTCTATTATAAGGTAAGGGGCTAAGAATGTATAACAACAACATACCTGTACACATAAATCCAGAGGGGTTACTCCATTTTTGTCTGGCAGATATTTGGCTCCTCGTAATAAAAGAATCTGTGCTGTGTCTCTCTGACCATGACTGTACAGAAATGGAACCAAGTTAAAAATATAATCGTTTCAATTTAAAGTCTTTCTCTATGAATTATGAACAGTTAATATGAATCAACAGAGGATTAAAATTTTTATAAAACTCAGAGTTGGGTCTGGTTAGTACTTGGATGGGAGACCACCTAGGAAGACAAGATGTAAAAAATAAAAAATACGGGATTGTAAACTGACAGGGTTCTTGCAATCTGTGAGGTCAACCAAAGGTTGCCTCATCTAAAGAAAAAAAAAATGTCTCAAATTTTTAAAAGCTGAGAGGAAGATATGAACTACATCCTCAACAATCAGGAAAACTTTTAAGTCATACTTTCTCTGTGCAGATAAGAAACTGATGTATTAAATCTTAGAAGTGATCTTGGTACACATTACCTACAACAAATCATAATATTTGGAGATAAGTAGCTGTTACTCAGGCTTATGCTTTTTTTCTTCCAATCGCTTTCTTCTCAGCTCAAACCTACCGCCTTCCTACCACACACATCCAAAAGAACCTCGATACTCAAAATAAGAGTACGTTTTATGATACTTTTATACTTGGTAAAAAATAAAAAGGAAAGAAAGAGAAAGAAATATTAAAGTAAAGGAATGGGAGAGAGGTGGGAGTTAATTAGCCAAAAATACTGTCACGCTTCCAAACTTCATTTTATCAACCCACGCAGCTTCTGCTAACAGATATTCAATCTGATCTAGAATGGACAACTCTTATCCATATGCTCCATTCTCTGTAAGTACTCTCTTTCTAGTAGGAGTAAAATTAGTAACTACCACTTTTTCAGCTAGGAGAAAGTTACTTTGGATGTAGCAACTACTAGACGCCAGATCTTGTTATTCAATGAGCTAATCTGATCCTAGATACAGGCGACAAAATATAAACTTACAATCCAGAGACATTAAAGTTTAAAGCTAATTTTATGAAATACCCAAGAAAGCCATATAGTTTGAATGAGTATCTGATTAAAAAATTTTATTCTGTAAGTAAGAAAAGCTACTAAATCAAGCACAGGTGAAACTAGAACTCAGATCTCTGGTCTTCTAGACCAGTTCTTCTTCCACAATACCATTACCTAAAATGGTTCATCATTTTACAAAGAGAAAGACTACACAGATTTCTCTGAAACTTAAGGAAAAAACAAACTATTCTTATCTACAAAATGATACTGCATAAAGTTTAACTTATAACCAATTGGAACTTAACATTAAAAAAATAGGATCGTATTATAATCTGGTGGCAAATAATAAGTTATATCACTCTCTTGTTACTTTATTGTAATACTGATTTCTTTCTTTAATATAAAGATCAATAGGCCAAAACTAACTTAAGAACAATAGCTAATTTACTCAAGAGCAGAAAATCAAGAAACCAAGTTATTTAATATTCATGTGTCCAATCTTTCCAATTAACTATATGCATATGCTAGTTCTGTATATTTTGCTACTATACATGGCAATGTTTTATACATTTTTCAAACACGTAATTATAGTGATTCATTCATTCGAAAACATTTACTAAGATTTAAGCACAAAGCACCATACTACACAATGAATATAAAGTGGTGAATAAAATAAACAAAATTTTTGCTTTCATCGAGCTTTTGGTCTAGTAAAAGAGACACATTCTACACAAGTAAATAAACAATTACAAAATACAAAATACTATAAAGGAAATGATCCTAATCCTGTGATTGATAATTTGGGGAAAGGCCCGCTTAGATTAGTCAGAAATTGCCTTCTTAAAAAGTAAAAATGAAGCAGTGACATGAAGGAGTGAGCCATATAAAAAGCCTGGGGAAGAGCATTTTAGGCACAATAGCATGTAGAAAAGCCTGCTGGAAAGCATTCGCTGTGTTTAGGGAACTCAAAGAGAACCAATGCTGAGCAGGGGTCAGACCATGCTGGTCTCACAGGTCAAGGTGGAGTTTGGATTTTATTTTAAATGCAACAAAGAGGCACTGAAAAGTTTTAAATAGAGGGTTTAAACACAAAGTGACAAGAGCTGATATATTTTTTTTAAAAATCACTTTGGCTGCAAAAGAAAGAACAGATGGGAGGGAAACAGAGGAATGAGGAAGGTGGGTTAAGAGACTACTGCACTACAGTAGACAAGAGGTAACAACTTTAACCAAAGTGGTTTCAGTGAGTTGGAAAGAAGTAAAGAGATTAAGAAAGACAGAGAAAGAAATAAAAAATAATGACCTAGTTTCTGGTTTAAACAACTGGAGGATAAGGGTGCCAATGACTAAGATTTAAAAAAAACAAACAAAAAAACAAACAAAAAAAAAAAACGGAGGTTTGAAAAGGAAAATCAGAAGTTGTATTTTGGACATATTAACACCTGAGATTCTCTGAAACTTGCAAGTGATGATGTAAATCACGCAGGTGAACGTTCAAATCTGAGGCTTGAAAGAAAGGTCTGATCTAAAGATAACTCCTCAAGATAGGATACCATTTCAGGGAGTCAATCAATGATATTATTCATAAATTCAGGATACTATAGAAGGAACTGGTTTTCTAGCCAAGTAACCAAATCAAATACAATTTTAGAAAATGGCTGAATTCACATAAAATCTAAAGTCTAGAGACCCAAAGTCCTTATATTCTAATTCAAGGTTGTTCAATGCTAATTTGAATCATTCTGATCAAAGTAACATAAGACACTCTAAAGAGAAGGTAAACAAAAGCAGATATAAAACAAATTTCCAATAAAATGTTAAAAGAGGAAAAAAGGATAAGAAAAACACAGCTTTCTAGAGATCTGTATTTGAATATATCAGAGCCTAAATATTACAATTCATATAATCTAAAACAAAGACAAGAATCACTAGTGTACTGTGAGCTGCTCCTAACTGTAAACTACATTTACATATATTTTGTGTGTGTGTGTGTGTGTGTGTGTGTGTGTAATTATTTTATTGCTACCTCCTTAAAAACTGGGGTATATTTATTAATGTATCACTAATGCCTACAATAATGCATGGCAACACAGTAAGTACTAACTAAATGTTTGATTACTACATAAATGAGTCGATCAAGAAAATGAACCAAGACAGAGTACAAATAACTTAATGCATAATTTAATATCTATCAAGAATGATACAAGAATTTTTTTTAAAAAGTTACAAATCCAGAGAAAGCAAAACCATGGCTCTAGATCAAAAGATACTTTAATAGCTTATCTCACTGGAACTGACCTGATACTTAGTAAAGAAAACTATGGCATTTACTGGATTATATCTTTCCTTATTATTTTATAAATAATTAGTCTAAAATTAAGTAATCAAGTATATCAAAAGCTCCCGCCTATACTATATAAATGCAGTGACAATATTAAGAGAAAATACACTTCCTTATGCAGTTAACAGAAATATAATACTATACTTCATTTTAAAAAAGGAGCATAATATTTGTGAGAAAACAAGAGAGCTTTAGAATGTGTGTGTTTGGAAATATAGTAGATACACAGCATTCTTTAATGAGAGCATCTAGAAATATAGAATACCATACCTGCAAGCAAAGTACAATGGAGTGGCTCCTGATACATTTGGCCTGTTAATATCAGCACCACTGTCCAACAAGCATTGCACTGTCTGGTGGGGAAAAGAAACATTATTAAAAGTAAAGCCATAAAAGTCAAACAAAGACACAAATATCACAATTTTAATTCAAATAAGGGAAGTTCTTGCCACAACCTGAAGCTTTAAAAAAGAACAAGTAGGAACATGACAATTACGATGGCTGAACCAATTCAACTTTTGGTAAGCACTCTGAGCCTCTCAGGCACTACACAATATATGTGGAATTATCAATGTAATATAAACTATGTTAATCTGGTAATGTTCTAGAAAACTGACACATAGAGTGACCAAGGACTAGAAATTTAGCTAGTACAACTGAGGAACTGAATTTTAATTTTTTTATAATTTAACTGTAAACAGCCACATATGGCTAGTAAATTGGACAGTGCTGCTCTAAATATTTGAATTTAAAAACTAGAATTTTTTGTCTCTAAACTGAAAAAATAGGTACCGGAGCTAAAACTCTCTCAAAGTCAAAGAGCATAATGTTAAAAGTGCATTATGTTAAAAAAAAAAAAAAAAAATACTAAGTCTTTTTGCTAGTAACAGTAGCCAATACTGACTCAGTTTTTCTGAGTCATTCGTATATACTCTGTCCCCTAAGCTTTACTTCTGTAATCATCTGACTAATACTATTGAAAAGTAAGCTAATATAAAGTCTTAAAAATACATATCTGATGATTAGGGATTGGACAAGGCTCACCTAAAAACATTAAAAAAGAGAACCTTTTCTGGTTTTATTCCTATGAGCCTCACTTGAGTTTCTCCTCCAAAAAGGAAGTGTAAAAACTTAAAAGTTTTTGGAATTAGACTGTTTAATATTACTTCTGGATTGAGCACATGTGTTCATCTTTCTTGCTGCTCTAAAACCTAGTGCAATGTTGATTAAAAAAAAAAAAAAAAACTATAAAAACCTGCCAGGAAGAACAGGAAAGAAAGAATAAAAAGCATACTAGATAATCAATAAATTCTGAGAAAATGGCAAGCAAGCAAAGGAATAGTAATTGACTTAGGAGATCAAAGAAAGCTAAAGTCTAAGTGCCTTTATTTGGTTTATTCCAACAATAAACCAATTCTCGCTATAAAACACACAAAATACAGGAGCTGGAAGTACCAAGTATCATGGATGATAGGAATAGTTACTTAAAGCTAAAAATAGGAGTAGTAGTTGAAAGTCTATACAAATATATTTTTAAAAAAAAGTCGTATGCTTCCCCAGGACTCTTCTTCCCTATCCCACAGAGTTAGGTACTATTCCTCCCTATACAGTCTCAGAAGTAGCGAGGTTTATTCTTTGGACAAAGTGAACAGGGAGGCTCTGGACTGGCAGACAAGAAATACAGGTAAGAATAAGGATGAGGAGCCATGATGAAAACAACTAATTAAATGAAAATCTCCAGCCCCCCATATTCCACTGGACTCCCAGAAATCCAGAAGCCAGACTTCAAACTTCAAACTGAAAGCTTCGTCTCTGTAGACTGGCACCAGAGAAGAGTTCTACAGATACTGGTGTTACAGAATCACTAGTGCAGTTGTCCCCTCAGGGACTTTTGGTAATGCTGAGAGGTTTTTTTGATTTTCATGACTGCAGAAGGGAGAGTACAATGGCAACTAGTGGGTAGATGCCAGGGATAACTCTAAACAACCTATAATCTACGAACAGCCTTCAACAAAGAAATTTTAAGCCCAAAATATCAATAGTGCCAAGATGGTGAAACCTTGGCATACTGTGAGGCCAGTCAACAAATTGTGCCCATGAACATCGTGCTTCCAGCCAACACTGTAGTGCCTCATCACTACGCATGAATGGACAGACAATATTTAAGAGACATGAAGCAGGCCTCTAACCTATAAAACAAAAATTAAAAAAAGAAAGAAAGAAAGAAAAAGGAAGCCAGAAAAATAAAGACAATAAAAAAATAAAGAAAACAAAAAAATACAACAGTAAAAATGAGAAAACTAACATATACTCCCGCAGAAAAAAGAAAAAAATATTATATCCATGGGAAAAGAACAAGATCCTGGTGGAGGGAAGGGGGGGGCAGATAAAGAATAAAATATTAAAAATATAGAATAAAAATTCAATAGAAGCTTAGAAAGACAATGTTGAAAAACTCTGTAAGAAAAAAGTAAAACAAAAAGACAAGGAAAATAAGAAAAAATGAGAATGTTAACAGATCAACCCATGGATATATATTGTAGAAATTGAGAATAAAGAAAATACAGAAGGTGGGAGACCAGAGAAGTAATCAAGAAATAATACCAATAAATAATACCAATAAATTGAAAAGGTTCACCAAATACCCGTTAATAAATTAAAAGACCTTCAACGAGGCACATCAAAGTGAAATTTCATAATACTGGGGATATAAGACTGCATAGATAAGAAGAAATCAGACTGGCATTTTCTCAACAGCAACACTGGAATCTAAAAGATAAAATGTCTTTAGAATTGTAAATGACTTCCAATGTAGAATTCTATAGCTAGAAACACAATCACTTTTAATATGTTTTTTGTTTTTGTATTTTTTTTTTTTAGGCAAGGCAACCCTTGGTTGATCTCACAGATTGCAAGAACCTTGTCAGCTTACAATTCCTTTTTTTTTATTTTATTTTTTACGCCTACAGCACTTGGTCTTCCTAGGTGGTCTCCCATCCAAGTACTAACCAGGCCCAACCCTGCTTAGCTTCCGAGATCAGATGGGATCGGGTTTGTTCAGGGTGGCATGGCCGTAGACTAAATATATGGGTTTTTTTAAATGCCTAGGTATGTAAGATTTTGAAAAAAATTACCTCTAATGTACCTTTTCTCAAGAAGTTACTGGAGGGCATCCTCCTCCAAAACAAGAGACTACACCGAAACAGAAGATGTGGAATCCAGAATATTGGAGATAAAGCACAGAAAAGACTAAGAAATTTTCAGGTTTAGAGAAAACAAATAAAACTGACATATAGTAAATCTGTCTTTGTAGAAAACAGTACTGAGATACCCTTCAGCTCCTGTTTCGTAGAAGCACACAGGAAGAATTACTGACTCATAAAAAGATAACTGAGTGCTCACATCAGCAACACATATACTAAAATTGGAACAATACACAAATTAGCATGGCTCCTGTGCAAGGATAACATGCAAATTTGTGAAGCGTTCCACATTTTTTACAAGCAAGGAATTATCTAAGTATTGAAAGATAAGACATTTCACGCTGAAAATATATATAAATAGGTGAGTTGGTTGTAATACATTTAAAATTCAATTCCACCACATCGTAAGTTATATAAATGTGTTACCGCTATGATGTACACCTGAAACTAATATAATATTAAATGTCAACTGTAATTGAAAAATAAAAGCTAAAAAAATAAAATGTAATAAAATTTAAAAAAGAAAACTGAGAAAAGTCAATTTTTAATTTTAAAAGGATTATTCTAGATAGAAAATGTTATTATAGTTCACAATTTGATTCAACAATAAAGTGTTTACCTAACTATATATACAACTAATATTGTCCAACCAAAATCTGTGACATAATTAATTTTAGAAATTGGGGAAGAGAATTTAAATGAGTTAAATCTTCACTTACCATAACAAAAAATGATTCAGTATCTAAAAGTCATAAATTGAGAAAGAACGGTAGAAGCATATTATTTGGAAATAGATAACAAAAGAAAAGCTAAAAGAATTGAAAATTGTTGCCTGGTTATCATGACTTGACAAAGAAGAATGGTGGTTTAAGGACTATCATTTTTTATCACAAACATTTTGGTAAAAATATAATATTTTAAGATATAGTATTAATGTACTGCTACTTGAATTTACTTCTATCCCAAGAATTCCAAATTCTGTGTAATATGTATTAAAAATATTGTTAAATAAAATTTTATTAGCTATATAATTCCTTTAAACTGAGCTCAAGTGGTCAAGTACAGCTTTCAAATATAAGAAAATTAAGCATTTAGGTCATTATTTTATAAGCTAAGGCCTATTTAAGCCTTTTTATCATGACTTTCCCCTTTTTCATTTTTAATCTAGAAGCTGTGTCTGTTAGGTCCCGAAATAAGAGATGGATAACAGCAATAATGTTCACTGTTACAGTAATTATAGACAATAGACTCTCTCTCAAAAGGCTCAGGAGAAATGAAAGCAAATATATCAAAAATATGTATTAATATGAAATTAAAACCTAGAAATCTAGAGAGAAGCTGAAATAAAGTAATTATTAACATAGTATGCATTCATAAAAATTATAGTTGTTAAAACTATAAAATGGTAAAATAATAATATGAATAACCTTAACACGTGCCTGGACACTGTGATAATAAGCGTTCATCATTTTACTGAATACATCCTGTGAGAAAGTCAATATTCCCTCCTCTTTTACAAGCAGGAAACTGAATCTCAAAGAGGTCAAATAATATGCACTCTAACACATAAATATACAGGGAAGCAGAGATTAAAACCTAACTCCATGTTCATAACCACTACACTATTTATCAAAAAGCAGGAATTCTAATTTTTCTGAATTCAGATTACTAAATGTATTATGGCTAATTTGGCACATCTTCATAAGCTATATTAATCATAGTTGATCTAATAATTCCTTATTAAATAACTATTCGAGAGTCAAACTCAAATGCCTAGACATCTATTTTTTTTTTTTGTTAAATAATGGCATTTCTAAACCATATACTTTTTACTTCTCTATTTTTATTTATACTGTAAAGCTTACAGTATATAAACAATTTAGCCATTAGACTAACATATTCCGCTACTGTTCTCTTCAACAAAGTGGTGGACAAACCTGGGGAAAATTATAGCAAGAAAGCATGATTTACAATCATATCTTTGTATATAGGAAATATTCTTTGTTCTTAAGAAAGAAAAACGAGAAAGTGGACATAGCTCATTCTGGCATTTTCTTTTTATTATAAATCTGTTTTTCTGTTTTAACAAAATTATCCCAATTAAGATCCATTAATATAAACATTTTTTAAAATTTTTCAATAGTTTCACTTGTAAATTGTAGATAAAATGTTGCCTAAAGACAATCAGGAATAAAAATCTATTTCTCTCAGAGTAAAGATAAATACATAAAGGGATTTTAATGTGAAGAATAAGAAATCCCCTTACAATACTGAAAAGAGTGAAAAATCAACAATCTTTGTGATTAAGAAAAATCTGCTTGCAGATTTCTTTTTGTAAAAGTTCTGAAACAGGAGAAAGTCTAATGTAGAATTCAATTACCTATTAAAATGCATAATGAGAAAAAGAGCAAGCAAGTCACAGAGAACACAAAGCACAATTTAAAAAAATTGTCCAATCTATGTAAAATTATTTATATGCACAGAAAGAGTACAATAACTTTGGAACTAGTAAAACTCAGGTGGATGAAACTGAGTATTTATTAAAGTAAAATAAAAACATAAAAGTTCTTGAAGAAACAATACTACTTGGAGATTTTAAACTATGCAGAAGCATATGGCAAAAATATAACTGAAGAGAATAACTTCTGGATTCAACTCTTAAATCCCTAAGAATTCTCAAAAGCAAAAATTTTCAGCAATAGATACAAACAAATCAGAAATGACCTCTTATAAGAATTGGCACTATCAATATACACCACACTTAAAGGTACAAAGAAAAAAGTGATACTCAGAAATGGAAGGAAAACAACAGAAAAAAATGGTCAAAACAATACTGCATCTTACTAGTCGATTCCATCTTTCAACAAAAATTTCAATGTCTATTATGTGCAAAGAACTACTCTAGAAGCTAGAGTTACGGCAATGATTCAAAATCCCTGTCCAACCCTCTTCCTCTTAATAAAAAAAAAAAAACAACTATTCTCCAGTTCCTAGATAATCTACACTGGGGGTCTTTCACCTTACAGAATAAGAAACCGCGAGGAAGGAATCTTGCAGGAAAAGCATTGAACCGGGATTTTCATATGGCCTTCAAGAAATCCTTTAGAAGAAACAATACATTTCCACTGACTTGAGGACCTTTCAAGTGATAAAATAATATCCTGAGTAGAAAACTAATGTGCAAAGCTAATGTTTGGGTCAATCACAAAAGTCATTTAATTGAAGGCAGCGACTAACAAAGACCACCTGTGTCCAATACACCGATACATTACAAAGAAATCCAAAGCAGCTCTACTTTATCAATGTCAACACTGATCAAAGTAAAACTGAATAGATATTCAACATTAAAACTACAAGGAAAAATCTGATTATTGTATTATCATTTGCTAAAAGATCAAACGACAAAAAAAAGGAAAAAGAAAACATCTTTGTTTTATCTTTTATTAAAAATAATTCTGATTAACCAGTTATCCCAATAAATTTAATTTAAAAAAACTCCTGAACATTAAAATAATTCTGATGACATGACTTAATAGCAATGCACAATTAACTTATACACTAAGAAAAATGGCCAACTCGCTAATCAGTGATTGGTTTATATAGGTCTTCTCTAGAAATGTATCTATCTAAATCTATTAAGACTTTGAACTCTTATGTAATATCTAGCAAAAAAATCAATATTACCCAGTTGTTAGAAAAATCAGAGTAAAGAGAACTTTCCATTATTTGCTCACATTTACCAAAAGTGATCGAAAAAATTCTAACTTTAGAATAAATAAACTTACTTTGAATGTAAAAATACATTGTAAAATGTTAGTCTATATCTTTGTGCCTCAAGGCTGAACCTAATTAATGTTTTTACAAAATCTTTTAATTAATCATGGTTGTTTCTGGATGAAAAGCTTGGAAGCTGGCTAAAGATAGCAAGAGAGCTGACTGAATATGAGTAAGCACTGTTGCTTAATTAACAAGCCTACAATTTCAGTAAAAAAATGCAGTCAGTTCTATCAAAGATAGTCTATAATGACAGTGTCAAACAACTGCTTTTAAGTTTCAGAAGCTAAAATCTACTCTAAGCGGGGTTCAACTATCATTTTACATGTTTGTGAAGCTTCATATTCAGCCATACAAATTTAGCAACACAAAGTTTATTCTAATAAAAATAAAATTTCTTTTATAAATGAACTGAAATTTGTCCATAAACTAATCCTGCTGTGTACTCTAACTTAACCATTTGACAGTTCTCTAGGGTTTCTAAATCCAAATTAATCCAGGAAAACAGTAAGCAACCATTTGTGGCAATTCAACACATTAATAAACCTTAACTAATGACCAAAAAAAGTTACCAAAAAGTAAGTTCAATTCATGGCCAAAAGATCAGAATTGATTATACCTATGTAGAATAATATTAGGTTTTACTATTCCTAAAAATGAGATTAAACCTCAAACAACACATGCTGGGCCTAGCTTATTGCAAAAAGTAAATGAATTAAGGATTCAAACAGCGCTCTCCATATTCTCATGCAGAATCACATCATCCATTATTAATAATGGTAGTAACTGTACCAACACTAGGGTTGCTCTTAAGTCTTCCAAAGTGTTCATAACACTTTCTTTAATTATGTAATCAACAGACAAAACATACCTTAGGTGGTAGGTAAGAGCAGAAGAAGAGAAACTTGTCAAAGACTATATAATAAGCCAGGTGAATAATCAAACTCTGAAACGATTTGTTAAAATCAATATCCAAAGACAAACAATAATTCTGGTATTGTATTGTACAGCTAATAACAGGAAAGTTATGAAGAATTACAATGTTAAAGAGTTATGATTTCTTTCATCTGATCATTTATAAATAGGAATAGAAGCAGTTTAAAATCATATGCCATTATGCTGCAAGGACCAAAAAAAGGTCACAATGCACTCTTCGACTACCCAAACCACTTCATTCCAACAAGAGTATGATGAGACCTTTATCTTGGTTTACCTCTAACAAAACAGATGCATCTATATGAGATACTGGCAAAAACTACTTAATTTCTTAGTTATGACAAAAATGAATCTTTCAAATCATTTATTTTTCAAAAAAATAGAAATCTGAAAAGCATTTCTTGTCATTAAAGCAAAAATACAGTATTCAATTACAAATTCTACAATGCTTTAGAGCTTTTAGGCAGTTATTCAAAATCTTTTCATGCACTCCTGAGATTTATACTAAAATGAGATTAGAAGGTAAATTTCAGAGGATTTCTTTATCATAACTGCCTCTTCAATTTGCAAAAAGTGATACACTTTTATTAAAAATTTTTTTAAATGGAGTTGCTTCCCCTCTTTAAAGTTTTATATTTCATTTTATAAAAAAATATATATGGTCAATATGTGAGCTTTTAAGCTTAAAAATAAAACAAAATCAGTCTATGACCATGCTACCCTGAACAAGCCTAATCTCATCTGATCTCAGAAGCTAAGTAGGCTCGGACCTGATTAGTACTTGGATGGGAGACCACCTAGGAGGACAAGGTACTGTAGGTGTAAAAAATAAAAAAAAAATAAGGGATTGTAAGCTGACAAGGTCCTTACAATCTGTGAGGTCGACCAAGGGTTGCCTCCCCGAAAAATAACTACTAAATAAATAAAAATAAAATAAAATCTTAAAACCTATCTCTAGATGGATGTAACTTTTGAATTAACTTTTAATGAATTTATGCAAGAGCTGGTTACTCTAAGACAACAAAAAGGCCATTTTCATTTGCCACTAAAATAAGTCACTATGATAACTAACATAGCATTTTAGATTCAGTATTCAATTTATGGAAAGATATACAAAGTGTCAAAAAAATCGATAATCCCTATCCTATGTAGTAACTCATCATATCGCCAGTCCAGTAAATCACATCCAACTCAGGATAAAAAGATATGCTCAATACCTGAGATGTGAATACATCCCAAAAATAAATGAGTAATTATGATATATGTAATATTAGCACAACTATCAACACATATTCAGCCTGGAGGCTAGGAGATAGACTAATTTTTTAAGATTCCTTCTAGTCCTATTTGAAGAAAGATTAAAGATGAATGCGGTGATTCAGAAAACAGTTTTAAATATTATCTGTATATGATCCTTGCAGATAATTATAATTGATCAACTATGACAGAATGGAATCTCTCACTAATACAATCAACCACAAGTTAACATGGCTTTCTATACACTTCCTCCTCTACTATATCTGCAAAATCTCACCCTGTGAAACTCATCACCACAGTGAAATCAGGCTCCCTATAAATCTTCTGAGAATACAATTCTTCAAAGGCATTTGACTATGAGGAATTCTCCCTTACTTTACCACACCTGCTTTAGGTTGCAAACCATATGGAGTATATTATATTTATACTAACTACTCTTCAATAACTTCAGAAGGAAATTCTAAATTTCTAATGCAGCCTGTAATGCATATGTTCTGAGCCAAGGTTTTGGTATTAATTCTTGCTTCTTCATTGACTCAAGAGAGCTAAAATTAGCTTTTGTAGATCATTTCTAATCTGAACTCGTTTTTTCCTACACAAGTTCCTAGTAGGGTTTGTTGTAATCTTATTAAATGATATTCCACTTATCTGTTAAACAGTGTTTATATTAAAGTAAGTGCTTTTCTGTCCTATGAGAGCAACCAGCAGGACTAATTTTAAATATGCAAGAGTGGCTTAAAAACCTGGGCCATTTAAGATTAAGACAATTCAGATAAATTTTTTTTCCATAGAGAATATGTTTTAATTAATTCGTTTATTTTAATTTAATAGTGTTACCTCTGAGAAACTAGAAACTAGTGAGAAGAGATACTCCTTGAAAACAATGGGTTAATTTTTAGATGACAGAAGACAAAAAAGTAAATATGAACACTGCTGTTCAGAAGAAATTCCAGGAAAGAAAAAAAAAAATTCTATATCCTTCTTTTTATCAAACTCTGATTAAAAATAAGACAATGTCAACCTTGGCCTCACTACTTTAAGAAGTGAAATATTCTCTGAACTGAAGTTATAATAAAGCATCTAAACATACAGGATCCTACGTCCTGAACCCAGGTTAGGAAAAAAGTGTTTGCAGAGACAGAAATCAGAATTCTACCAGTTTTCCTAACAAAAAGAGAATGCTCATACAGTGTACAAAAAAATAAATATAAACAAACAACTTTTGTAGCTGTTGGTGATTTTTTGTTTTGGGTTGGTTTTTGTTGTTATTGTTAGCAAATAATTAATATTCTATTATTAATAATATTAAATACTAAAAAAAAACCTGAAAGTAACCAGGATGGGAAATTATAGCAAAGCAAATACGCATCTAAAATCTTAAGCTAACAACCTCTATATAAAGCAGCAAAGAAAGTCTGCTAATGAGAGAGGAAAAAAACAGCAATTTTAAAAGCCAAATGTTTGCACATAGGAATAACAGGAAGGTATTGCTATAAAACAAATGCATGATTTTAGAAATTTAAAGTCAGAAAGAAAACAACAGCCACTCTAGTCCTTGAATCATATTCCAAGACAGCAGACAGATAGGATAACCCAAGCTGAACTAGTTAAGCAATGTCAGTGATCACTTTCTTTACTATCTAATCCCATTAACTGAAACTTAATAGAACAAAATATGAAAAATTTAGTTGATAAAACTGAGAAGTGAATAAACATAATTGTTAAAATTATATGTGAACATACATTTAAAATTTTAATACATTCAGCTATTAAAATCTATGAGTCAGAAACAAAATTGAAATCCAAATTACTAATATTTTAAACAGACTTAAAAGCCTATTTTCTATTCCTTTAACCATGTAAAATATGTTAATCAGAAGTCTGTATCATGTAGAAAATGTTATAAGATTTTGCTATGTTGCTTCACGTTCCCAATTATGCACAATGAAAAACTTCATGGATTCAAAGTTTTCAAAAATAAACACATGCAACTTAAAGTTCTCACAGTAGAATTTACCGTCTTGTGACCATTCTGGCAGGCCACATGCAGCGCTGTCTGCCCCATCGCGTCTTCAACATCGACGTCACTGACGTGCTGTACAAGGTCATGGAGTAGTTCTGTCCTCCCATTCACAGCCAGCCAGTGTATCTGTGCAGCCATTTAGTTACTTAACATTTATGCAAGAGTGTTTCATATAAAAACAGGAGATAAATAATGCTATTATTTCACAACTGTGAGCATGCTATGCACACTACAGACTAAAATTAAAATTTAAGCCTATATTTTTTTCCTATATTTTCATACAGGGAAAAATATGTGTCAAGATGTAGGTTACACTACCATGTATTTCAAAATCAAGCACTTAGTGGCTCAAAGCAGTTAAACTTAGAATCACTAAAGACTGCTTCTTACATGATCTGGGCTCCATGCACAGCTTATCTCTAGAGAAAAGGTACTGGATATTTTTCCTTCCCCAGAAGCAAACATAAATTAAAAAGTAATTAATTCATTAGGCATCATATTATTTACTTCCTATATTTTACAAGTAATACATGTTTCATGTATAAATAAAATATGTAGGGAGGATTAAAAAATATAAAACATCTGTAAGTCTGCTAGAAGATAATCGATGTTAAAACTCTGGACTATGCTTAAGTATCAGTAGTAATCACCCTGCACCACTTGAAGCACGGACAAATGCAGGACTAAAGACAGAGCAGTTCAAAGTTTATTTCATAAGATTTAGACCCTTAGATCCCCGTCCCCTCCCAACTCTGCATGGCCAGTAAATGCCACTCTCCAATCTGACAGAATACAAAAAGCTTGGAAAAAAGATGCCTAGATAAGAGACACCAGGCACATTTAAGCAAGACTATCACACCGAAAAAGGGAGATGAAGGGCAAGTTTACACTGAATATTGAAATCTCAAAGCATTCTCTTCTACGTAGGATCCAGATGCTAACATTCTCCTGGTAGTTAGAAGAGCTTTCTCTGAGGAATATAACCAGCTCAAGAGTAAATGCCTAAAGAAACTGACATCAAAAAGGCTCCTAAAGGTAAATGCTCTACACTAAACAGTGAACAAACCTCACGCATTCAAACAGCTTTTTCCTGTTCCACCAAACATTTGACAAATACATCTAATCAGACAAAAAAAAAAAACAAAAACCAAGCGAAAAGTAGAGGAGAAAAGAAATCATGAATATCCAAGAAGAAAACTTTAAAAAAACCCTATCTTTAATAATTTCAGAGAGAGAACATACGGACAACCACATCCTTGAAACAAGAAAAGGAAAAGAGGTACTATTTAAAGAAAAACAAAAAGCAGTTCCCCCAAAAAAGGAAAAAGCTCTCAGAAATTAACACCATGACTAGACATGCAAACTCAAATGAAGATTAGAAGACAGTATTGAGAATGTCTCCCAAAAAGGACAAAAAGATGAAGAAATGGAAAAATATGAGAAAAGGTAAGAAAATTAAAAGGCTAGCCCAAAGAAGTCCAATATTCAAATAATAGGAATTCAAAAGGAGAGAGCAGGGAAAACAGACGAATGGAAATCATCAAAGAAATAATTTATGACAACTTCTCTTGAGCTCCCATTACATGAGTTTCCAGGTTGACTGAATCTCAGTATTAACCAGCCAAATGAATAAAATCAATCCAAATCAAGATATAAAATCGTGAAATTTAGAACTCTAAGGACAAAGTAAATTCTTTAAGTTTCTGCAGAGAAAAAACAAACAAGTTTCATAAAAAATCAATCAAAATGGCACTAAATTTCAAAACTGAAAGCCAGAAGACAACAAAGGAATGCTTTAAAAATTTTAAGGGAAAACAATGTCCAGCCTAGAATTTTATTGTCAGCTTAATTATCTAGTACATAACCAGACAGACTGAAAGACTCAAGTAATATGCAGTCAAGCAAAATATCAACAAATTTACCTCC